GTTGAAAACCACAGGGCTAGCTTTACACGGAAGCCCGGATCATTATTGTAAATGTCCGATTAAAGGAAAATTATATTTCACACCTTAGGACCAGCAGTGAAGCATTTAGCCACTACAGTGATTATCGCAGCAAACATACCTTTAGAAATGTGAGATATTTCTTCATAACCAACTTGTAACAACATTGTGTGACCAGTACCAAATCTTGACATTAACAACAAAAGCAAGATGGAAACAATAGAAATCAAATGTCTGCGATAAATCTTAAATTTAACAAGAAGAGACAGGATCACATATGTTGATATCAGGAAAGAAGATGGGATGGAACCAATACTAAACAATATCAAGGGACAGCAGATCACATGGTTTGGACATGTGTCAAGACTACAACCAGATAGTGCACCAAAGAGAGCCCTGTCACTTAGGCATAATGAAAGCAGAACTAGAGGTTGACCATTCAAGTAGGATAGATGGAGTATTCGAAGCCATAAATATGAGCACCTATATAACACATACCAAGGCTCACATCCATTACCTCTTCAAAATATGATGCTGAAAGGCAGAACAGGACTAGGAAAGAAGAAGAAGCCCAACTTGTAAGCCCCACATGTAGACTTCATCTTCTTTCACAAGCTGCCCTTTCTTCTTCTTATTTTCACACACTGTTCAGGTTTCATCTGTCATGTCTTTGTAATGGTGTTGTGCTGGGCTCATATCTTTTGTGCTTCATAATGATTTGTATTTAAGAATAAAAAACAGTCTTTCTTGTTAGTCAGTCTGAATGTTATGTTTGGACAGTCCATAGTTAGTTGCATACCCTTTACAGGAAATTGCAGAACCAACCCTCGCATTTTTTTTTGGCTGTTGTGGTTTTTCTAGGCAAATTTACATCCTGTAGTTTGCCATTGCTTTCTGGATGGTCGGCTTCTTAATACCACTGTCGAAACTAGCACAGGGCCCGCAGCTGGGATCGAACCTGGCACCCCATCATTACAAAGCGCGTTCGCAACGCCTAAGCCACAGATGCCGACAGTCCATACTGTTATTTAATTATGCTTAATATGGACCTATGTATATCATAGACAGCTGTCAGACACTATGAACACGCAACTGGTCCTGCAGGTTCAGCAAGCACACAGATAATAGACATAATTATGTTGTCTGCCACCTCAGAAGAGGAGCGGCTAGCTGAACGGTTAGGAGGCTGGACTGGACCATTTTTTCTAGGGGGGGGGGGGGGGGGGCGAGAAAAAAAATCCTCACCTGCACTGTCGTGGCGACAGCACAAGCCTTGCCGCCTTAAATCCTCAGGCTCAAAGACCCCCCCTGCCTACATGGCAAAAGTGGTAAAACAAAGGCAGTAATTGGTAGTTTGGCCACCTTAGAACTGCCATTGCCTGTATTTTCCACGTTTGAGGGTAGGCAGGAGGGCCTTTGAGCCTGAGGATTTAAGGCCGCATGGCTATTGCTGTCGCCACGACTGTGCAGGTGAGGATTTTATTTTGCCCCCGACAGAAAAATCCCCCAGCCATACCGAAGATTCAAACCCAGGTGTCCTGCATGAGAGCCTCACATTCTTTACCGTTTGGCCAGCCGCTCCTCATTTCGGTTGTCCCTATGCCAGTCGTCTAACTACAGTTCCAGCGATTTTCACTGAAGTGAAAAGTCAGGGCTTTTGTTTGTCATTTTACATTATGCCAAAAACACACATGTGAGTTGATGCTCCAGAGACGTCTCAATCAAGTATTACTTTTCATGCAACTTGCCACTTCAGAGAAAAAGCTGATTTTTCAAGGTAGGAGGATTTAGCACTCGGATAGCTTTGTTGCAGTGCCGAAGATATTATCGTGAAGCCTACCAACAGGCGTGTGATGGCAACGGCAGTCCTAAAATCCTATGATCTTATTGTGGGAGACTTTTCTTATTGAGGGAGAGTCTTGCTGGTCGCACTTGCCATTGCCATGGGCTGTGATTGTCATGTGTCCCTGTCGGCTGGAAGGATGAAAACAGTAAAACAAGCAGTTAAAAAGCCTTGTGTGGGTTCTGGGGTCCCATTGTGGGGAAAACAAGAATAGACCCACTGCCTCCCCAACAAACATATCATAGGAGTTGACTGATTAAAGATTTCCTTTAGAGTTGACGTGCATCTGCCTGAGAGGCAAGGAACCAACAATCTGCACATAAATAAGTAAGATTTGTTAAACAGATGTACACGCAACACTTAGGTTTGTGAACAAATCTAAAGTCCTCAGGTGGATGAAAAAACCAGAACTTTCTGCCGGAGTTTACAGCTAGTTAACGTGAAGAAGAAGAAGAATAAGAAGAAGACAACATGATTGTTTCATGTGATCACAATTATCCTTTAATGTAATCACCAGCAGACAACTGGTACTACCTCATTCATTATTTGTTTGCCATCTGAAGAAGATTCTCTGAGATGAACATGTGTGTCATTTTGTGCTTGTTTGTTGCTTATCACTGGTTATGTACCTGCTTGTGATTTCCCTCATTGGGCTTTTGTGACCTCCTGCAGCAGCTACCCTTTGCCACTTTGTTTCTGCTTGCGTGATTCAGGTACCTTAGAATTTGTACATAAAAGCATGCTGTTCTGTTCACAAATAGATTCTATTGTCTAGATCCCGGAAGATTAGTTTGGATAACATATGGCTATTGAAATTTGGTGTGTCGGCTAAAAAATACAATTACGTCGATCAGAAAAAAGATGAAGAATAATGTATTCTGTAAACTGTATGCATTTTTCCTAAGGTCAGTTCAGTTCAGCAGCCTTTATATTGCAGTTCATGTTCAGTATTATTGCATTTATTATTCTTTTGACAAAATAATTAAGATATAATTAATACATCTTATATTTTATTCATTATTTATCATTGTTTTTTTTTCCTGGGCTCAGGTCTTGCAGAAACTGGTTTTATAAAGGTTTAGATATATTTGAATTAGCACTTTTAGTTTATCTAAAATGAAAAATGTATTGCATAAATTAAATGAGTCTAAAATGAACTAATTCTGAAGAAGACTTTTTTATGTTCTATGAATCATTTAGTCAGATACTCGCTGAACTCTTTCTGCTTTATAAATTCATTTATTAAATAGTGTTTCTTTTGAAAAACATAGTTTCATTTTGGAATGAAATTCATGTTTGGTCCAACTAACATCTAATCGCACATCTTTGTTTCTAATTCTCACTTTAATAATTTCGGCTATTGAAATAGTTTTACAGTTAGTTATGCAGAACATAGCATCTATCTAAAGTCCAGACTGTGTGTAAATAAAATGTTTTAGTTCAATTGCTTGTTAATTTGTAAGTCTAAGAAATGATGGGGGATGCAAGAAAAAGTTCTTCCAATACCATAATAAATTACCAGGCCAATTCATCTGTACCAGATTTCTTTGAATCACTTGCTGTGGGACCTGCCTCATCTTAAGGATGTGGACATTGTGACAAAGAGTGTCTATTTAGTTACCAGCAATTGCTGACATTTAGAGCTAGAAACCTTATTCTGGAAGGAAAAAGAAAATGGGGAAGACCAAGAGAGACCCTGCGTAGAATCATCATCAGGTAAGACCAAAAGAAACCCTGCGTAGAATCATCATAAGGTAAGACCAAGAGAAACCCTGTGTAGAATCATCATCAGGTAAGACCAAGAGAAACCCTGTGTAGAATCATCATCAGGTAAGACCAAGAGAAACCCTGTGTAGAATCATCATCAGGTAAGACCAAGAGAAACCCTGTGTAGAATCATCATCAGGTAAGACCAAGAGAAACCCTGTGTAGAATCATCATCAGGTAAGACCAAGAGAAACCCTGTGTAGAATCATCATCAGGTAAGACCAAGAGAAACCCTGTGTAGAATCATCATCAGGTAAGACCAAGAGAAACCCTGTGTAGAATCATCATCAGGTAAGACCAAGAGAGACCCTGTGTAGAATCATCATCAGGTAAGACCGAGAGACCCTGTGTAGAATCATCATCAGGTAAGACCAAGAGAAACCCTGTGTAGAATCATCATCAGGTAAGACCAAGAGAAACCCTGTGTAGAATCATCATCAGGTAAGACCAAGAGAAACCCTGTGTAGAATCATCATCAGGTAAGACCAAGAGAAACCCTGTGTAGAATCATCATCAGGTAAGACCAAGAAAAACCCTGTGTAGAATCATCATCAGGTAAGACCAAGAGAAACCCTGCGTAGAATCATCATCAGGTAAGACCAAGAGAAACCCTGCGTCGAACAAATCATCATCAGGGCTCAACCATGGGCCTAAAAAACTTCCAGGACCTTAAACAGGTGGCAGTGAACTGCCACACTTAGGGAGCTATGACCTCTGCCCTATGAGCAGCTCTAGGATCAGGGGAAATGACTAACTTGCTTCATGAATTTAGATTGACGGACCTGTTTTATGTAACTATGTATTAAAATCGAGGGCCACATGTTTTCAGAATGGTTTTTGGAATTATCTATAATAGGGAATTTTATTTTCTGGTTAGAAGCCTTTTGTTAGGTTTTTTCCTTGATGTTTTTAGTTTCTATCATATGGTCAGCCTATCAGATGATCCGGAAATTACAGGCTGATGTCTTTCAAAGACTGGCTTCACTGATCGCTGTGAGGAAAAATCACTTCTCTTATAATAAAGTAATAAACGGCAGATTGTTTTGGCAACTTGTAAAGTTGTTTGAATAAGTTGGGCCCTTCAACCGTTGAACTGCCAGATGTTGTTACTGTGCGTATTTACTATGAACTATGTTGTAGGCAAAGTTAGTTTCAGTGGTATTGGAAGTTCACTTCTGGTTGGTACCTTACCCTAACAGTTTTTTGTACACAATTGTCAGGTCTGCAAATATTTCTCTGGGTGGTGAAATTATCAAGCACAAATGTATAAACTGGATTGTAGACAATTTAAGCTTATCCTACATTTGTAGGTCCTGCACCCAGAAATGAAAGTGCCATATTTGATTTACCATTCCTCTTCCTCCTTCTTCAGCCAGGAAAGGCGTTTATCAGCATCAACTTCTTCCGACTGTTCCGTGTGATGAGACTCATCAAGCTGCTCAGTAGAGGTGAAGGAATCCGAACCTTGCTCTGGACATTCATCAAGTCCTTTCAGGTAGGCACCAGCCAGGCTTGTTCACAATGGTTTTGTGTTGTCTCTTTAACCCCACCTGGGTTCCAGGACCCTGGTTTGTTTTTTTGTTTATAAAAAGGGGGGGGGGGTGAATTGAACCACTGGTCCTTAACAGGCATGTCATAAAAGGCAAGTAATGGAGTATTTGCTGAAATTATATGTGTTGGACCCATATGGTACCCCCTGTTTGTAAACCACAACGTGATGGTCCAACCACCATTTTGCAAAAGAAGAAGCCTCTTCTGTCTTTACTGTGTGTCAGATGAGAGAAGTCTATAGGCCTGCAGTCTGTGAAACCCATGGAAGATGGCATATATGGAAGGTGTCAGTGTGTCATGTAGCATATATAGAAGTTGTAAGGGTGCAATATGTGGAGGGGTAAGTGGCTGATATAACACATGGGACAGGTGAATACTTGTGTAATATGTGTGTCTGTGTAAAGTGATGTATAAATATTTGAATAAGTTTAATTTTTCTATTCTTTTTTTCCTAGGCCCTGCCTTATGTAGCATTGCTGATTGTCATGCTGTTCTTCATCTATGCAGTTATTGGAATGCAGGTGAGTGTAGGTGTTGAGGTTTAACTCAGTACATATGGTAGTCACTTGCTTATTGGTTGGTTTGTATGCAAGACCTGGTTGGTCGTCTCTTAGGTAATTGGCTCCTGAATTGAAGAATGAAAGATCAGGATTGTGGTCTTGCAGCTGCTTGATTGTTAACTCGTTTAGTACCAAAAGATTTCATAGGTGAAGCCGGTAAAGAAATAACTGTGATTAAAATTCATCAGTGCATTACCTTCAGAATTGTAATGTAACAGTAATAGTGACCAATGGATAAACCAAATTTCTTGAGTGTGTTCTGACCAATAATAAAAAGTAAGAGAACATGTTAAACTATAGATGGGATTCAGCAGATCGAAGTGACTCACATATAATGCGTTGTTTGTGACTTCTTCTTCTTCTTCCTCTTCTTTTTCTTCTTCTTCATGGTTCCGAGCCCTTGAGGTTCATTGCTGCAGATGTCACCAACCTCCACTATACTTTCTGGTTGCCCTTCTCTTTCTAGTTGGTGACTAGAAGAGTTAACTTAATGGTAGGAAAAACCTGGACAGTGACTAGCAAACAGAATTCTTTAGTTATGTGAAATCATGTTTGCTGTATCTGTTTGCACATGTTCTTGTTTGCATTGGAAACTCATCATTGGGGCTGCATTAGCGCAATCAATAGGAGAGTTGCTTTCAAATCCAGCTGAGACTTGCTACAGCCCACGGCCGGCATTTGATACCGGGCAGTTCCCGGGATTTACCCAATCTCTATGTAATGGGTACCAGAGTTAACACTCTGGGGTAAATGGAGAAGTGTCACTGTAGCTACGGACGGTGACACAGGTGAACAGTTTCTTATCAGCTGTCCGTACTGGGGGCAGAGCATTTATGGTTTATAACCATGTGTAATGACGACGTTGATTTGCATCTCCCCACTTTACCTTTATCATTATTCGGCTAAGAACATTGCTGTCATCATAGCAGAAAGCGATTCAGTCCCATACCCCCTATTTTCCCATGAGCTTTCCTAACCAGCGTGTGCTAGTAAATCCCTGCTTCTTTTTTTCCCCCTGGCACCAAACTCTCAATTACTGTGCTTTCCAGACCATTATGACTTTAGTTATGGCCTGAATATTGGAGTTTCTAAGAAACTATCTTTGTGCAAAAGCTGTTTCTTCTGTGGTGTTCAGATTAAGAAGAATGGCAGCATTTTTCCTCTTCTCGGTCCACAATATTTTTATTTAAAGATTTTTAGCAGCTGTAAGATAGCCACATCTTAAATCCATTTTTTGTGCTAGGATTGAGGCAGGTTCTCATGATTATTACTGTTGGTTATTTCATTGCTGTTTTTACACCATGCATGACTAAAATTTCTCTTAAAAACCGACTGAAGCCTTGCTTTCATTTGTTACCATAACAGATATTTGGCCGCATCAAATTGGATATGGAAACAGAGATCCACCATAACAACAACTTCCAGACATTTCCACATGCCGTCTTGGTACTGTTCCGCTCTGCCACCGGAGAAGCCTGGCAAGAAATTATGCTAGCCTGTTCAGATAAGGATACTGTGCTTTGCGATCCTGCAGCCGATCATATGATGAATGCAACAGATGACAAACCACACACTTGCGGCAACGACTTTGCTTATGTGTACTTCATCTCCTTCTATGCTCTGTGTTCTTTTCTGGTATGTTTGTATTCTGATGTTTGAATAGAATGTTTTATGTTAATTTGGGATCCTAAAAAACATAACACTGTTATTTGAAAAAAAAAAATTTATAATACTTGAGGCAAAAGTTGGAAGCAGAGATGACCGAGAGGCAGACAATAATACAAGTGTGAAAGTGACATGAAGAGTTGGACAGACAGTAGTCTCAAAGAATGTACATCTAGGGAAAAAAACAGAGCATGTTGGAGGTCTTTATCCTTCAATGGGAAGTTGTCACCTAAATGATTGTTTGATTGAATTTAAAATCTACAAGTCCATAGAAATGTAATTAGTTGCATATCCTTTACATGGTGTTGCGGAACCAGCTCCAGCAATTGTTGGTGGTTCCTGATTTTACTAGCAGTTTTACGTTCGCTATTTGCCATTGCTTTCTGAATGGTCAGCTCTTGATACCTTAGAAGAAATCAACACAAAGCAGTGTGTTACTAGATTGCCTGCAGCTAGGACGGAACCTGGTATCTCAGAATTACGTACCATGTTATGCAAAGCCTAAGCCACAGATGCCAACATAAAAAAAGCTAAACAGTTTGAAAAAGCAAAAAAAAAATTTTTTTTTGAAGAAGCGATGGAGGTGATAAATGTAGTGAAAAAATGGAGAATAGAATTATAAAAGAGATGAGCAATATAGAAAAAAAGAAAAGATATGAGTAATATAGAAAACATAGAGAAGCGATGGGTAATATAGAAAAACATAGAGAAGAGATGAGTAATATATAAAAACATAAAGAAGAAATGAGTAGTTTAGAAAAACATAAAGAAGAGATGCGTAGTTTAGAAAAACATAAAAGAAGAAATGAGTAATATAGGAAAACAGAGAAAACGAGTAGTATAGAAAAAACATATTGTAGAGGAGTAATTTAGAAAAAAATAGAGGCGAGATAATATAGAAAACATAGGGAAGAGATGAGTAATGTAGAAAACATGATGAAGAGATGAGTAATATAGAAAAACACAGGATAGAGTTGAATAATATAGAAAGACATGGAAGAGATTAGTAAAGAAAAACATAGAGAAGAGGAGTAATATAGAAAAACATAGAGAAGAGATGAGTAATATAGAAAAACATAGAAAAGAGATGAGTAGTTTAGAAAAGCATTAAGAAGAGATAAGTAATATAGAAAAATATTAAGAAGAGATGAATAGTATAGAAAAACAATGAGTTGAGGAGAAATACAGAAAAACATAGAAAAAAAAGATAATGTAGAAAAAATAGGTAAGAGATGAATCATATAGAAAACATAGGGAAGTGATTAGTAATATAGAAAAACACAGGGAAGATACGAATAATATAGAAAAAACATAGAGAAGAGATGTTTATTGGGAAGAGATGAGTAATAAATAAACAAAAAAAGTTATTAATATATACTGCAGACACAAGCAATACAATGCACATCTTAGTTGAGTTGATTCAGGAACTGACATCACAGCACTCGGGTAATTTCCATAAGTGTGCCATCCCCATCTTCAGCAGCCAGCATAGTTCCAATACCAGTAGTGCCAGAAGAGGTCTGATTATATGTCCATCTTGCCTTTTCTGTGAGCATTGGATATCGGCCAGATCCCCTCGCCACTCTTGGCTGCATCACTCTCATCAGACTGTGGTGATTAATTTGCTGTTCTGAATTTTACATGTGTTCCATAAGGCATTAACCAATTCTGCCTTATCATGCATCAGTATTCCATCAAGTTGTGCAGAGCCAGCCATCTGTCAACCTGTTCATTTCTCAACACACCAGCATGCTCCAGAGAAAAAATCTGGACAATGCTCTTCATCCATAACCTCTGACGCGCGAAGCATGCTGCTTTACATAAAGCATGCATTGTCCTCACCTTCCTCAGCATGCTTTCTGAGCCAGTTACAAATACTATGGAAGAGCGGTGAGAGAGAGAGAGAGAGAATGTGTGCGTGTGTGCCTGCATGTGTCTGTACACACACACATATATATATCTATCATATTCTCTAGCCAGCGGAAAGCTGCAGTGACCGCTTCCACCTCCATTCTTAAGCTGGATGTTGTGGTATGATACGCTAGGCTTTCCTGCACCAAACGTCGACTATTAGCTTTTGCTACAAATCCCAGGCACTTCTATTGCCTATTGACACAGAATCATTTGTACAGCTCATATCCGGCAAAGCACAATAATATATCATGAAGAACAATCTTTTCCACTGGATCCCTTCCACTGACAAACACAAGACACAACGTCTCTCATTACACTGTACATTTCACAGCCTGAAAAATCAAGACTAACCATTTGATTATCATGACAGTTTCAAATTTACAATGAAATATGTCAGGCAAAGTTATGTGATGTTATCACAATCGATGTCACTGCACATTAGGCATTCCCATGCACACTCAGTCTCCGATGCAGCAGCTACTCCAAGGTATTTCTACTAACCGTTTCCATGAAAGTTCGGTTATAAAGTCTCCTGTCTGGGCCTCAGAGGTGGCATAGACGTGCTTCACCATGCTGTACTCCCATGTCACGCAATCATGTTAGTGTTAGAGATTCATCACTATACACTAGCCCAGTCCTTACAGAGTTGATGATATTTGCTGTCTTCTTGCTTCTTCCCACAGTAGTCAGGCAATACAGTTTGCAATGTTTGTTTTCTTTCTAATTTATATAAATTTGCAACGGGACTAATTTTCATTATATGTTGAGATGAAATGTACCTAATGTTTCATATCAAAATATTTAAATAATGTAGACAAGAACAATTTATTGGCTGGAGTATTTTCCTGCATCTTGTCGTACGCATTACTGCAGCATTACAACATTATAATTTTATTTTTTATTTTTAACGGTTAATTCTGTTTACTGAAGTGTTCAATTGTAGGATGTCTTTAATCTCATCAATCTCTATTTTCCTTGGATGCCCTCTTGCTTTCAGAAAGAAAAAATTATCTCAGATGTCAGTCTTAGTCGGGGTTTCAACTTCACTGCAATTGGGTCACCCAACCCCCCCCCCCCTCCCCACCCACCCATAGTTAGTCTTTTCCCGTGCTAGTAAAAATCAGATGAAGTATACCCCAATGTCCCATCTTAGATGTAGCACCTATATTGGTAATTGTAGTGGTTTGTTGTCATTAACATGTGCTAGTATTATGTTCTAATGATTTGTTGACTGATCTATAGAAATGTAAGTGAAATGCCTCCACTTTCAGATCATCAACTTGTTTGTGGCAGTCATCATGGACAACTTTGATTATCTGACTCGGGATTGGTCAATTCTAGGCCCTCATCATTTGGATGAATTTGTGCGCCTGTGGTCCGAGTATGATCCTGAGGCCAAGTAAGTCAGTCTGTATGTGAACCCCTGCCAGAAACCTGCTACAGCTTCATTGTTTTATCATGGGGTTTCCGTGGCAAATTGGTCAGGCCTTTTGCCTCAGGCTCGAAGGTTGTAGGTTCATTCCACGGCTGCATTGTTCAGTTCCTGAGCTATGAAGCTCGTGCTTTGTGTTATGCTCTTGGCAGGCAGGCTAGCCATTCTGCAGAGGGAGGCTGAGCCATATCAGATAATACCCAGTGCAATGAAGTCGATCTTCCTGATTTAATCCTCTAACCTTTGCTTTCTCACCACCATCATGTTTTTCTATTATATGTCATGGAGGGCTCGTAGTCTATTTCTCCTGTGCAATCCTTTGAGTGTCATGGAGGGAATCTGGTCCAGCACCCTTGGCCTCTCTCATCAGTGTTTGCGTTAGGGTTTCTCTTGCACATCCTTGTTTCTTTAGTCCATTTGTTTCCCTTTTCAGTGCCTGTCGTCGGCGACCGGGTCGCCCATTGGCTGGCCGGTGGACGGCTTCGCTGCCGGCAAAGACAGTACTTGGGTCTGTCTCTCTCGAGGATATCAACACTGCAAGAGTTCTTTTCAGGGCTGCTAATGGACATTTTAAATGGCACACATAACCTAGTCATAATTATAGGCTAAACCTCCCCCTTTAGGGATGCTGGTTGAATGTGAGGATTGGGGGGGGGGGTGGCAAAGCAAACAAGCAATGCCTGTTTGGTGATGCAATGCCTCGTTGCTTTTTCTGAGGATGTGCCCATTATTTCAACATCATCATTATATTATAAATGTTAATACCAGCAGTTCAGTGTTTCACCATATTATTATGTCTCATTTACTGTCAACAGTTATAACAGGTCAGCACTTGTAGCTTTAAGGTTGTGAAAGCAGTTTCACAATTTGATTATGCCAGGGGTCAAAGTCGACTGTGGTGATTTGGCAGTGATTGCTTTGTATTGATTTTTACAATGGTGTGAGCGTGTGACTGCCCGTGTGGGTTCCGGGGCTCCATTGTGGGAAAAACAAGAATAGACCCACTGCCTCCCCAACAAGAATGTCATAAAAGTCAACTAATTGGGGGCTTCCTTTAAAGTTGGAGTGTATCTGCCTGAGAGGCAAAGAATCAACAGTCTACAAACAGATAAATCAGACCTGTAGAACAGATGGGCACGCAACACTCACATTCTGTGAAAAGGCTAAAGTCCAAATGTTTTGACCAAATTGTATAATTATCAGGACCCAAACACAGACCTTTTCCAATGGAGAACATGAGACAAGGAACAGGATATGTAATCTGTTGTTACGCGCTAGTTGTTTAATTAGCATAGTTGTTTTCTTCTGCATGTGCCCTTACAAGGAAAGTCAGTCTGTGGTTTTGTGGTTTACAGCCAGGCTGTGATATCTGAGCCTGTCAACCCATCGCATTCAGTAATAAACAGTACAAATTCCGCATATAACTGTGTCTGTTGCCTTGTCTTTCATTGATCAGGGGTAGAATCAAACATCTGGATGTGGTGACGTTGTTAAGGAAGATCTCCCCACCGCTGGGCTTTGGAAAACTCTGTCCCCACAGAGTTGCCTGCAAGGTAAATCAAGTTGTTTGGTTCTCATTAAGAGCTGACATTATCAGTGAGTGGGAGAGAAAGAGAGAGAGAGAGAGAGAGATGCAAGGTAAACTTGTTGCCCTCTCATTGAGTTATTGTATCATTGGTGGGGTGGGGGGGGGGTGCAAGTGAGAGAGAGTTAGTGAGTGAGAGACAGAGGGAGAGAGGTATGTGCATTCAAGGTAGTTATTTTATCAATGAGTTGTGACGGTGTGTGTTTGAGAGAGAGAAGGAGGAGAGAGTGTTGCATGCAAGGTAGTTATTTTATCAATGAGTTGTGACGGTGGGTGTTTGAGAGAGAGGGAGGAGAGAGTGTTGCATGCAAGGTAGTTATTTTATCAATGAGTTGTGATGGTGTGTGTTTGAGAGAGAGAAGGAGGAGAGAGTGTTGCATGCAAGGTAAATTTGTTAAAGTCTCATTGAGAGTTATTTTAGTTGTGTGGAGTAAAGAACATGATGATAGATAAACTGCTGCCACGCCTTCTGGCTGTGAGCTACTTTATGATATGTTGAACATGGTGAAAGCTGTCTCTGATCAAGTGGCCAGTGCAGCAGTAATCAGAGGCTCTGGGTGGTCTACGACAGGCAGACTTTAATCAGGTTGCATCTGATACCATCACTAGGGAACTGTTTGTTGGGTACTAAGGAAGGAAGACAGAACATATGTGGGAATATCCCAAGTACAGTTACAAGACAGAACTTAAGTGCGAATGTCCTAAGTACAGTTATGAGACAGAACTTATGTGAAAATGTCTCAAGTAAATTTATGAGACAGAACATATGTGTGAATGTCCCATGTATAGTTACAAGACAGAACATATGTGGGAATTCTCCCAAGTGCAGTTACATCAGTTATTGATTAATTCATTCATATACTTGCCCTTAGGTTTTTTTTTTTAAGCTTTATGTCTTGTCCATTGAAATTTCCAGTCACAGTTTATGTCATTTAGTTGTTCCGTTGATAAAGACTTTGGTCGAAACGTTTGGTTGCATTTGTTTCTAGCCTTGTCCATTTCTTCCACTGAGCTTTCTAGTCACATTTTATGTTGTCTTTAGCACATAAATTATAGTTTCTCATACAGTTAACATTCAGTTTAATCTGATATAAATGTTGCCATTTTTTAACAGAGACTTGTCAGTATGAACATGCCTCTAAACAGCGACGGCACGGTTATGTTCAATGCTACCCTGTTTGCTCTGGTTCGAACCTCACTCAAAATCAAGACAGAGGGGAATATAGACCAAGCCAATGAGGAACTCAGAGCTGTCATCAAGAAGATTTGGAAAAGGACAAGTCCGAAACTGTTGGACCAAGTGGTCCCACCTGCAGGTAGCAAGTAGATTTAAAGATCTCATCCAATACTTTGCATGACTTTTTTTTCTTCAGTGTTGTTTTATTTATGAGGACCTGCAACTGACATTTGAATTCATAGAGGCAACCCACCGGACGATCTGACCTGAGCGTATGAAACCGAACGCAAAGAAGAAGTTTCATTGATGATTTCTGTGATATTTATGTAAGTAAAGGACCCTTATAGGGCAGTGGCAGATCAGTCAGGTGATACTAGAATTATATTTTTGATAAATCAGGTGGCACTCAGTGGGTGATGTGGTCAACATCATGTCAGCCGCCTTTACTTCCCAGGACTTTACCTGGCACCCATTTTAGGCCCAATTATCCTGGGAGTCAAGGTCAGTTTTGAGGACAAAAATCAACTGTAAATAAAGGACTCTTTTTCCATACTTTCAGGAGTATTGGGCATATAGGGCTAGACCTGTTGTTTATATACCAATTGGCACTCGGTCTTGGTGGGTGATGTGGTCAGCATCATGCCAGCCACCTTTACTTCCCAGAACTGCACCTAGTAACCATTTTAAAATCACCTATACCAGAGAGTAATTGGTTTAAATTAGAATATATTGAAATGACACTTGTGGCAAAATGATTCAAACATTTGGGTCACAGCTTAACTCTGCTATTAATGTTGAACATTCTTTGACAGTTAAAATTTGTTGATGGGGAATATGTGTTAATGTTGAACATTCTTTGACAGTTAATATTTGTTGATGGGGGATATGTGTTAATGTTGAACATTCTTTGACAGTTAACATTTGTTGATGGAGGATATGTGTTAATGTTGAACATTCTTTGACAGTTAACATTTGTTGATGGAGGATATGTGTTAATATTGAACATTCTTTGACAGTTAACTTTTGTTGATGGGGGATATGTGTTAATGTTGAACATTCTTTGACAGTTAACATTTGTTGATGGGATATGTGTTAATGCTGAACATTCTTTGACAGTTAACATTTGTTGATGGGAATATGTGGTAATGTTAAACATTCTTTGACAGTTAACATTTGTTGATGGGGGATATCTGGTAATGTTGAACATTCTTTGACAGTTAATATTTGTTGATGGGAATATGTGTTAATGTTGAATATTCTTTGATAGCTAACATTTGTTGATTTGTGGTAAGTGTTAATGTTGAACACTCTTTGATCGGGGACATTTGTTGATGGTGAGCATTTCTTGGCAGGAGGTATTTGTTGACAGGGAATATTGGTTGGCAATAGTAATGATATAATGGCACTTTAGTGAGTGAAAATAATTGCTTCTGCAGAAAATATGATAAGAATCATGAAATTACCCATTAGTCTTGGAGTATTTAAACTGACATTGTTTTGTTTTAATCTCACTCCAATAGGTTGGTTGTCTGTGTTCAGCTGAACCTGGTTTGAAATTATAGTATCTGTGTAGATGTTGGTAGCTGTTTCCCTTCCTCCTTTTTTCAGCTTAGAGAGAATTGCTTCCTGAGTTTTCAGTGATTTTTCTGTACATCCTAACACTTTTTGTATATCCCCACTTTTTAAAAAAAAATCTTTTTGTGTGTGTAGTGTATTTGTTTGGTAAGTTTGGTAAAATGATAGCCCCTCAAAATTAACAACAAAGGGTTAATGATTTAACTACCACCACTACCACATACACTTTACATTAACTAGGCGTGTCAGGGACTTGCTACCACCACTACCACATGCACTTTACATTAACTAGGCGTGTCAGGGACTCACCACCACTACCACATGTACCACTAGGTGTTAAATGACTTTACTACATACAACATGCACTTTACATTAATAAGGCGTGTCAGGGACTTACTACCACATGTACTTTACATTAACTAGGCGTGTCAGGGACTTACTACCACATACACTTTACATTAACTAGGCGTGTCAGGGACTACCACCCACTACCCATTAACATTAACTAGGCGTGTCAGGGACTTACTACCACCACTACAACATGCAATTTACATTAACTAGGCATTTCAGGGACTTACTTCTACCACTACAACATGCACTTTACATTAACTAGGCTTGTCAGGGACTTACTACCACCACTACCACATGTACTTTACATTAACTTGGCTTGTCAGGGACTTACTACCACATACACTTTACATTAACTAGGCGTGTCAGGGACTTACTACCACCACTACAACATGTACTTTACATTAACTAGGTGTGTCAGGGACTTACTACCACCACTAAAACATGCACTTTACATTAACTAGGCGTGTCAGGGACTCACCATCACTACAACATACACTTTACAATTAACTAGGCGTGTCAGGGACTCACTACCTGATACACATGTACACATTAAATAGGTGGGTCAATTTACTATTTTACACTAGGCGTGTCAGGGACTTACTACCACATGTACTTTTCATTAACTAGGCGTGTCAGGGACTTACTACCACCACTACCACATACACTTTACATTAACTAGGCGTGTCAGGGACTTACTACCACCACTACCACATGTACTTTACATTAACTAGGTGGGTCAATGACTTACTACCACCACTACCACATGCACTTTACATTAACTAGGCGTGTCAGGGACTTACTACCACCACTACCACATACACTTTACATTAACTAGGCGTATCAGGGACTTACTACCACCACTACCACATGTACTTTACATTAACTGGGCATGTCAGGGACTTACTACCACCACTACAACATGTATTTTACATTAACTAGGCGTGTCAGGGACTCACCATCACTACAACATACACTTTACATTAACTAGGCGTGTCAGGGACTCACCACCACTACCACATGTACTTTACATTAACTAGGTGGATCAATGACTTACTACCACCACTACCACATGCACTTTACATTAACTAGGCTTGTCAGGGACTTACTACTACCACTACCACATGTACTTTACATTAACTTGGCTTGTCAGGGACTTACTACCACCACCACTACCACATGTACTTTACATTAACTTGGCTTGTCAGGGACTTACTACCACTACCACTACAACATGCAATTTACATTAACTAGGTGGGTCAGGGACTTACTACCACTACAACATGCACTTTACATTAACTAGGTGTGTCAGGGACTTACTACCACCACTAAAACATGCACTTTACATAACTAGCGCAAGTCAGGGACTTAGTACCCAATCTCTTCAGGGGGATTGGGGCCACCAACCAATTAACTAGGACGGGTCAGGGACTTACCATGTAGATGTATGAGTACATTCACATTGAAAACCACGTTTTAGTTTTGGCTTGTAAATTTATTGTTTATCGCAGTGCTAAATACTAATGCACAGGTAACGGGATGAAGAGAATTGATATTACTGTTGTTTCCTCTTTAGATCCCTGTCTTTCTATCGCACAATGGTCATTAGTTTTCCTCTCCAGCACTGCAGCCATCAAGGCACTGTGTCTTTTTTTTATTATGTCAAAACAAATAGTAATAATCTTGTTTGGTAAAGGAATAATGAGAAAATCCTGGATAGATAGAATGAGTAATGATGATGTCTTGAAAGAAACTGACTCAAGAAGAGAACTGAAAGGTAACATCAAAAGAAAATAATCTACATTCTTTGATCATGTCATGAGAAGGAGAAAACTGGAGTATATCGTGACGGTGAGAAATCTGGAAGGGAAAAGAGGCAGAAGGAGACACTGAGGGAAGATGCTGGATGGTTTTACATCACTATAGGGAAGATCCTCTAGTTCTATCAACCAGTTATCACATCGGACAAGTCCATAAGCACTCAGATCCCATCTTCAGAATATCCATTAGCCTGTGATGACTGGTAACACTAGTTTTGTGTTGGTTTACTGTTCTTCTTTGGCTACCTTATAATGTTTATGCCTGACAATATCTGTTTTGACCCTTAGTTCTTATAGTCTTTTCAGTGTTGCCAATGTGTGATGTGGTCATCCCCCACCCTCCCAAAAAAGACATTTGTAGGGGTAAAATAATCGTACACACTGTGTCTAGGCATTGTGCAATGCAAAAGTTGTCGTACAGATGCACTGGGTACTGTAGGCACTGTCCAAAGACACTATGTCAACCAAAACCCTTAAAAGCCAGAAAAATGGCTTTCTCACTGCAAGAAGGTTAAATTAAGTACAGAATTAATTTCCTACCAGACATCTGTTGGAGCTTTCTGTTCTGTTGTAGTAGATGCTTATCCCAGCTTGCTTCATCATGTTTGTAGTTTTAGTTTGTGTGGCTTCCCATTCCATCTGTACTTTTATTCTTTCATAGTGGTACTTTGTAGATGTTTGAGGTCACATTATTTATATGGAAGACGCCCGCCTGACTTTTTTTTTCAAAAAGGACTTTGACTCTCAGGTCGCCCCAGCCTTGAGTGGGTACCAGGTGCATTCCTGGGAAGTAAAGGCGGCTGGCCTGATGTTGACCACATCACCCACCAAGTGCCAATTGGTTTATAAAAAATATAAGTCTAGCCCTATATTCCTAATACGCCTAAAGGTGTGTAAAATGGGGCTTTACTTAATATATATATATATATAGTGAGAAAGAGAGAGAATTAATGAGAGGTTATGGCACCAGCTCTGTCTCAACCAGGTCTGGTTTATCTCACAGTGTTGACTGGATTTTTCAAATAAGCAGAAGAATGGCATACTTGTATATTCCTCCCTGGAATAGTGGATCAGAGATCTACCCGTCTCAGACAGTGGTGAAGATTTTGGAGGACTGTTGTAGCATGTTGTATACCTTTTAGAAAGAATTAGCAGAGTAGCCTGCGACTCAGATAAAAGGTCTAGATTATAGTGAAGGGAAAAAAACAGGACAAAATTAAACAATATTTATAACATATTTGTACACACATTTGGAAACTTACAAACTGTGTAGTTCTTGTACTATTCTTCTTTTCTTCTTCTTCTTCTTTTTCTTCTTCTTCTTCTACTGCTTTGCCAATTGTGAACTCTGGCTGAGTGAGTGAAGTTGAACTCACTAGGATTAAGGGGCCGCATTAGTGCAGTTGATAGGAGACTTGCTTTCAAATCCAGCTGCGACTTGCTGCAGCCCACGGTCATTGTTCGGAACAGATTCACCCACCTATAGGTGCCAGAGTTAACACTTTGGGGGAAATGGGGGAACGTCGCTGTAGCTACGGAGTTTTCGTGCGGACAGCGTCACAGGCGACAGTTTTCTTATCAGCTGTCCGTACTGGTGGCAGAGCACTTATGGTTTGTAACCATGTGCAATGACGCTGATTTACATCTCTTTTGACTTTACCTTTACTGAAGGAATAACACCTGGGTGACTCAAAGTGCAGAGTGTCACTGTTTAGATGGGAATCTCCCAGGTACAAATCTCAGAAATCCTGTTCAACCTTGAGATTAAAATGGGGCCACCGATGGTTGCAAAGTAACCTGAAGTCCAGACAGGCTGAAAGTCCTGGTTGTTCATCCTTGTCTGGACTTTGGTCTTGTTCCAGGACTGGACTGTTGCATGCATGCACATCTATACCAGATGCAGATGTTTTACAGATGTTTAAGGGGGCTGTGTGGTCTTGAGACATGGTGTCCGCCTTGAGTGCTGGAGTCCCGGGTTCAGGCCCCAGTGAAGGATGGGACATTTTCACGTGGACTTTCAGTAATTTCCTCTGGTCTCTGGGAAGTAAGACCGGATCCCTGTGTTTATTGTTGCGCATGTAAAAAAAATCCCTTGACAGTTGGAAATCGAAAAGAGTGGCATAACAGTGCTGCCCGGGCTAAATTTGGAGTTAAAAAATCTACCCAAAGTATTTCAGGATTTTCACTGCGCTGAGCTGCTTCAGACTCAGGCTTGAGTTAAAGGTAAAACAGAGCACTTATGGGTGTCATGACGTTGATTCGTTGAATAAACCAATAAGCCAGTCTTTTACAGAGCTGACTTATTTGGCTCCTTATCTGTCTTGCATATATGCTGAGACTTCAAAGGCCAGGGTTAATGTCTACATTGGCCAGGAACCTGTTCTGGTGGAAAGGTGTATATAGGTCTTGATGTTTGAGCTCTTGTGGACCACACCTGCGGTTCAGCTGATGGCCGCTCATCTTAAATCAGACTTCATTTCCTGTTCATTAGACATTACAGTAAAGATAACATTTTAACAAATATTTAAAAATAAGCAAGCATCTTTATTAATGTAAAGTATTCTAAAAAAAAAAAAACATTGGGAGTAAGCGATCATCTTTATTGATGTAAACTATGCACACACAAAAATTGAACGAAAACATCTTTATGGATGTAAACTATCCACACACACAAATATTCAAAGAAAACATCTTTATTGATGTACAGAATCTATGTGGGTTCTGGGGTCCATTTGGGAGAATGGACCTGACTTCCTCTCCCCCCTCCGGTCACCCCCCCCCCCCCCCCCCCCCCCCAAACAAGCATGACATTAAAGACGATGCCTTAGGTAATAAAACTTAGTGTTCTGAAACAAGAGCAAAGTCCAGGAATGGACAAACAACCAGAACTTTGTTCTGGAAATTGCAACTGGTAAACAGTAAGAAGAAGGTTGATACAGAGTAATGGACCTTCTCGTAACATCTATATTCACATGTGGCATTTGGTGATGGGCCCATATTTTTATAGACAAATCAACACTCTGTGGGTGATGGGGTCAGCATCAGGTTGGCTGCCTGTACCTCCCAGGATATTTCCCTGGTATTAATTTCTGGCTGGGTTGGCCTTGGGGTCCAGGATATGTATAAACATATATGCTGTAAATTGATGGTTTTACATAACTGCTTGGAATTTTTAGATCCGGCTTATTTGACTGGTGGCCTGCAAGCCAAATCTGGCTTAGCAAATGGCCCGCAGATCATTTGTAGTGTATTAATGATCTGTCTATGTTTGGGCTCTAGTCTCTGGCTTGTAACCATCTCCATATTCAGGATTTGGTTTCCTGAGTAAACTTAGTTGAATAGCCTTGTTGTAGACAGATTTTCTGACTGCTACATGGTAAGCATAGATGCAAGAATGAATAAACATAACATAAACAAGTACTTCCCTACCTCACTGTAAGTACAGACAACACTGTAAGTACAGACAACACTGTAAGTACAGACAGCACTGTAGGTACAGACAACACTGAAAGTACAGACAACACTGTAAGTACAGACAGCACTATAAGTACAGACAATACTGAAAGTACAAACAACACTGTAAGTACAGACAAATTATTATTTTTTTTTTAAATATATGTAATGGTTTATAAGAGGAATCTCTAAATAAGGGTAGAAGAGGAAAAACTCTTAAGTGAATTTAGTTTTCCCGTTTTTCAAGTGATTTTATTTATCATTTATGCTTGCTCACTACAGTATACTATACTGTGAAATATTTTATGCAGATGTTGATGTGATAATGTACCTCCACACCATACTCTAAGTTAAGACTATCATACTTTAATTTTTAAAATTCATAGATGTTTTGAGGGCTTTTTGGGAGTGAGTGAACAGTGCGTAGGCACAAAAAGATCATTATGGTTTGAGGAGAAAAGCGCTGCGAGGAGTTACCAGGGGATCTGGCCGACGCTCAACACTCAAGGAAAAGGCAAGACGGATAAATAATCAGACAGTTAATGGAACCATTGGAATTTGAACTTTTCACTTGCTGCTGAAGATGGGAAAGGAGTGTGTATAGGAGCATCCCAAGTGCTATGAAATAGATTCTTCATTCAACATTGAACATTATAAATTTGTAAGATAAAACTGTATCAAGGGCAGAAGACTTTATGTGAATGTAGTTTTCACATATTTCAAAGTTTTTATTGTTAACTCTTACTTGGTGAAGCCAAGGAAATATATTGTGCATATGTTGATTTGATAATTTCCCTCCACACCTCACTTCAGTTAAAGACCGTAATAAATTGCAAATAACTGTGAATCTGTATATAATAGTAGAAGGTTAGTTAGTTGCATATCCTTTACAGGACATTACAGAACCAACCCCAACAGCCCCTGGCTATTGTGTGTTTTTTCTAGGCAAGTTTACATCCAGTAGTTTGAATGGTAGAAGACTTTAAGTGAATCTGTATCTATTGGTAGAAGACTTTAAGTGAATGTAGTCTGACAATTCTTGAAAGTGTTGATCATTAACCCCTTCTCGATGAAGCCAAGTTCACTGTGAAATATTTTGTGCAGGAGATGACGACGTGACAGTCGGCAAGTTTTACGCTACATTCCTGATCCAGGATTACTTCCGAAGGTTCAAAAAGCGGAAAGAACAGATGGTCAAAATTCAGAAAGGACAGGAACATACGAATGCTTTACAGGTAGGGAATTGTTAGCACTAGAAGTAACTGGGCGTAGTAGCTAAAAGCTTTCCTGCCAGTACGGTGATCAAGGGTTCAAATCAGCAGTAGGACATATTTTTTTTTTCAAAATTGATCTTGTCTTTTAGGTCAACCCAGCCCAAAATGGTTACCAGGTAATGTCCTACCAAGTAAAGGTGGTCATGTTATTTTGGCCACATCACCCACCAAGTTACCAGGATGGCTGTCCTGGGGAAGTAAAGACGGCCAGCGTAATGCTGACCACATTACTCACCCAGTGCCGATTGGTCTGTAAAAATATGCGACGCTCTTTCCTTATGCCCGATGTGCCTGAGGCGTGAAAGGGGATCTTTACTTACTTTACCCATCAAGTGCCGATTTTTCTGTAAAAATACAGGTCTGTTACTATACACCAGATGCCCTAAAGGTATGAAAAGGGTCCTTTAGCTCTTTCAGCACCAACCAACTCATCATACGTTCCTTGATCATTTTAGAGATTGAAAAAATGTCTTTGCTGTCTTCTACCACAGACATTTTGTACCGCAACCTTTGTGTCATAATTATTGGTTTAACTATTTCTGCTCCAAAGTGTCTGTGCTGTCTTCTACCACAGACATTTTGTACCGCAACCTTTGTGTCATAATTATTGGTTTAACTATTTCTGCTCCAAAGTGTCTGTGCTGTCTTCTACCACAGACATTTTGTACCGCAACCTTTGTGTCATAATTATTGGTTTAACTATTTCTGCTCCAAAGTGTCTTTGCTGTCTTCTACCACAGACATTTTGTACCGCAACCTTTGTGTCATAATTATTGGTTTAACTATTTCTGCTCCAAAGTGTCTTTGCTGTCTTCTACCACAGACATTTTGTACCGCAACCTTTGTGTCATAATTATTGGTTTAACTATTTCTGCTCCAAAGTGTCTTTGCTGAACTCCTTCAGACTTAAGTAGCAACTGATCTTTTTAGTCCAGCTTCTTGGAATAGGAGGAGTTAAAGTAATAACTACTTGTGACTGAAAGAGAATATTAGCTATCCTGAAACTGTACAAAAGCTTGCAATCATCGTTTATATGAGAAGGAAAATTGCAGTTTATTTGGCACATCATAAAGAGAAATGGACACACAAACTTCAAACAGGTACTGAAATGGGAAACAGATTGAGGAAATGATGACATTGAAGAGAAATCTTGAGATGAACGTTGCTGAGAGAGGCCAAGGGTGCTGGACTTGATTGTATGTACCTATGATATAGAGAGGATTGCACAGGATAGATGGGTATGGTGGACTAGATTTCGAGCCCTATGTGACATATAACCACACCACAGGCTGATGATGATGATAATGACAATGAGGCTGTTTATGTCTCTGATTGAGTAATGAATAACCAAACACTTTCTCAGCATTTGACCTGTCTGAACTATTTTTGTTTTTAAAGGCAATCATATCTTAGGTTAAAACCTAACTTCATTCAGTATGATAGCAGAGGATGCTAACTGTATCCTTGGGCTGTGTCAGTCCTGGGTTAAGCAGTAACATAGTGGTTAGGTACTTATTTGCCAGCCTGAAGGTCTGAAGTTTGAATACATATCATGGCACACTGTTTTCAAATTGACTTTGGCTCCCAAATGCACCCAGCTGAACTAAGTTACCAGGAAATGTTCTAGCAATGTGTCACAGAAGATGACCCACATCCCCTCAGTAACTACCTTTACTGCCGACCGTATGTACCACTTTTAGGGCAGTAACAGTTTAAAAAAAATTTTTTAAACGAAAGAACTTTTCCAAACCTTCAGATATACTGGGAAAATAGGGCTAGACTTCTGTTTCATAGACTAATGGGCACTCGGTGAATGATGCGGTGAGCAGCACACCGGTTGTCTTTACTTCCCAGTACTTCCAGCTCTGTTGGTATTTGAACCTATGACCTTCAGATACGCAGGTAAGTTTCTAGCCGTTACACCATGGCTTCTCCTACTTTTAGGGCAGTCCAGGAATCATGGACAGTTGGACGATTAGTGAAAAATGCAATGGAAGTGGTGGAAGTGTGGTTTTATAGACAAATAATGAGAATACCCTGCATGGAAAGAAAGAGTAATGAAGATGTCTTGAAAGATACTGAAGAGAACTGATTGCTTACATCAGAAGCATAGTCTACTTTTTTTTTGGTCAGGTCATGATAAGAGAGACTGGAGTACATAGTAACGGTCAGAAAGTTGGACGGGAAAAGAGGCAGAGGGAGACCTAAAGAGAAAATGCTGGACAGTCCGACATCATGGCATGGAAGCTTGCATGGCTAGTGTAGTGGCCACAGACTGGACAGCTTAGGATTTTTATTTTTGCCTTCGACAGTAAAAGTCTAAGTCTTTTACTGAGGAATGAACCCAGGTCCTCCATGTGATAGCCCAGTACTCTAATAACTCAGCCAGTCACAACAGCTACAACAACTTGAGGACTGGAAACTGGCGGTGACTTTGTTCCCCCATAGTAGGCCAGCAGTACACTCATCCTGAGCTGCGAATGAGGTCTTCAGTCAATGAAACTTGGGTTCCTGCTGTCTACCATGACCATGGAGAATTACTGTCTCTCTCTTGCTGCCTTAGAGAATGTAGAGTCTGTAGTTCTTGACAGGCTTCATCATTGTGGTGGCCGTCATTAATCCTTCCTTTTGTGAAACATTAGTCATCCCAAGATATTCCATGTTAAGGAAGAGAAGTTGTAATCTATTTTACTGATCTGGACACATCAGCAGCACTGCATCCCTTAACTCTTTCAGTCCCAAGGAAAGCATCATAAACTCTTTCAGTCCCAAGGAATGCATCATAAACTCTTTCAGTCCCAAGGAATGCATTGTACGTTCATATGTTCCTATTTAGCAGCCCATTGACTGCAAGACATGCTGTTTTTACATCTATTTACTTCCGCTTGGGCCTCTGATGCTAAACCCTCTCGGGCTAAAAGAGTTACAACTCTGCTAAAGAAGTCAATCAATAAATCAAGTACCATCTCCGCAGTAAAAGCTGGCTGCATCATGCTCTGTCTTTCACTCTGGAATTACACTCCAGGACTGCAATTTGTCCACCTCTTAATGCTATCCTCCCACTTGTATCACTGTCTGCCTAAACAAGTAAGTAAATGTAAGTATAAATCAGTGCAGGTGCTGAACAGTCAGAAACACATGAAACTGGCATATATTTGTTTGGCTAGTGTCTTAGAAACACATGAAACTGGCATATTTTTGTTTGGCTAGTGTCTTAGAAACACATGAAACTGGCATATGTTTGTTTGGCTTGTGTCTTAGAAACACATGAAACTGGCATATGTTTGTTTGTCTTGTTTTTTAGAAACACATGAAACTGGCATACGTTTTTTTGGCTTGTGTCTTTGAAACACATGAAACTGGCATATGTTTGTTTGACATGTCTTAGAAACGCATGAAACTGGCATACGTTTGTTTGGCTTGTGTCTTCAACAGGCGGGCTTGCGGGCAGTTCATGATCTAGGCCCAGAGATCAGACGAGCTATCTCAGGTAACTTGGACGAGGAAGAACAACTGGACAAGGATGTGGAGGAGCCTATGCACAGGGTGAGTCTAGGAATGCAAACAATAGGCTTTTTTGTGCACATGACCACACATTATCAGTTCATAGCTTCTGACTGGCATTGATGTAATATTAGTCTGTATACGGTTTACCTGAGGGAAACTGTGGTGGAAGGTTCTGGTTGTTCATCCAGTACTGGACTTTGGTGCTGTTTCAGAACCTGAGTTTGATGCTCGCATTCATTTTACACATCTCGCTTATTTGTATGCAGACTGTTGGTTGCTAGCCTCTCAGGCATATACACTCTGACTTTGATGGAATTTGATGTGATAAAGTGATGTGACGGTCATGAATCCCCCAGGCTACAGATGAAAGCAGGGTCACCGCCACAAAGGGGGGGGGGGGGGGGGGGGGGGGGGGGGGGGGTTTGTAAACTTATATTTTTCAAGTGGATGGGAGCTCTTTTGGGCTTTTTCCTTGTTTAAGTTGGCAGAAAAAATAGCAATTATTATAATTATGTGCTGACCATCAATTAAATATAATAATACGTGAGGGGCATTCAGAAACTAATGCACCACAATAGTTTTTCTCAGAAATAAATATCTTAACCTGCACAGTTCCTGGTGACTGCACTAGTGATGCAACTTTTAAAATGCTGAGACCCAAGACCCCCCCCATAAGAAGTGACGCATAAAAACACTAGTGACAGTTGACCTGTATGTTCATTTTGTGATATTCAAAATGTTTCTGCATTTTAAACAGAGAAATCACCCCTTTTTTGGAAATGCGGTCAGTGCAATGGTTGGTGGTCGACCCATCATGCCATTCCTCACTCACACACAGTCACTCAAGGGCATTAAGGCACAACAGACTGCCAACTTTACACCTGTTATAGCTGTCAGCACTGCTGCGACAAAGTTACTGGGGGTAAGTCTGTGTTTTGTCATTTGTGTGATCTTTTTCTTCTTCCATGTTCATCCAAAGACGCAGATGCGTTGTGTTTTTATGCAACATTGTTGTTGTTGTGATATTTGCAGTTGACACATCCAACTTGTGATAAAGTCTTTTTCCAACCAAAAGGGCTCTGGGGTCGACTAAAATTGGCACAAGACAATTTTCATAATGTTCTGTTAAGGGAAATGCAACAAGAAAGAGAAGTGGCAACCACACAATACATTTCATGACCTGGTACATGTAAAAGCCTTGTATTTCCCACCCAACACAATAACTGCAGTGGGCCTGCCTTCACTTTAACATGTTTTAAGCACATTTGAAACTTCCACATTATGTGGACCTCTGCCAGAATCTTCGGCTGGCAAACTAAGTAACCACTTGTTTACTTTGGCTTTTTTTATATAAAACATGGCATCATCATGTGTCAGTACCTATATGCTGTCATGTTTTGCCATCTCACCTGATCACCACAGTCACAGATCAGGCCAGCATTCTTGCTTCAGCCCCATCCGTATGGCCATATCATCCAGGTATTTATCTCTTTGCCTTCCTCTTGCTGTCTCTCAATCCATCAGTATTGCCAGTCCTTGCCAGTTTCTTGAGTCCATTCTTTCTCCTAACATATCCAGAAAACACTGGCTGTCTACGTCTAGTTTATTTCTAATCAGTTTATGGCCTTTGTCTTTCGGAAACATGTAACATAAATGTGCTTATCCTTCATGTGAACAGATGAATGGCACAGTGGGAGGAGCATCGTCTCTGAACCATCTCAACCAAGACCTGAGCACAGCCAAGAACTCTCCACAGTTATTGAAGGCACTGAACCAGGAGGAGCAAAGGAGACCATCTCAAGCAAGGTGGGTTGTTCAATTTGTATTGTTTATGTGATTCACTTCAGTAGATAGTGTTGTTCAATGCAATGTTCCTACTAGAGAGTTGCTGAAATAAGTAAAAAAGCGATAAGTGAAACATTCTCGCCACATACGTGTTACTTGTTGTCCCTATTGACATTCTAGCATATGGGATCCAACCCATTTGTGCTGCTTCCAATGCAACAGCCATCTCCCTGTTCATCATGCGCATTAGGAGCTGACTGGCATATCTTCTTTCCTTGCCAAGCACCCGGTTTCTGCATGCTTGTCCTTGTTTCTTCTTCACTTTAGCCAGCCATGAACTCCAGTGGAAAGTTCTAGTTGTTCCTCAACCTCTGCACTTGAGTCTTATTCCAAAGATGTTTTGTGTGTGCATCTGATTTACAGTGTGCATTATTTTGTGTGCAGACTGTTGGTTCCTTGTCTCTCAGGCAGATGCACTCTGTCTTCAAAGGAAACCCCTAATTAGGACATGCTTTTTTTTTACTTTTTACTCACACACACACAGTGGGTCCCCAAAACCAACACAGGAAGTCCTTGTTTGAGACCCATTTGTAACAGGCAGTTCATCATCTCCGAATCCTTTGTCTCAAAATCTATGGAATGCAGTGCATTCAGTATATCAACTCTGCCCATACTTCTTCCTTCCCTAACCTCTGCAATTACAGCTAAAATGTACTACCTATTTTACCAGGGCAAGCTCAGGTTCGTTAATCAGTTGATTTTGAAAGTGGTTGAATTTGTACTTCGGTTGTAAAGGATTCACTTATTTGCTTTATTTTATTCAATTGTTATAATAGTGTGTACCAGATACAGCGAAATATGCCAGGCAATAAATTTTGTTATCCATTGTTTGTGTCTTCTTTGTTCAAATGTGTAACTGGGAAACACTGCTTTGAAACTAGATATTGCCTAAGAGTTATATAGAGTTTATGATGTTGTTACTGTTTTCTCTTTCTTCTGCAAACAGTGACATACAGGTGAAGATTGAAGCAGACGAGCCAGACTTCTATGATGCCCAAGAGCCAGAAAATGACGATGTGCTGGACAACGAAGTTATGGAAGACCAAGGAGAGGAGGAGGAGGTACCAGGAGGTGAAGATGAGGACCTTGAGTCAGTGACGGTTGATTCCGTCAGCTCAAAACCACAGATTATTGATGGTCAGATACCAAATTCCAGCATTCCAGACAGGCCAGTTGATAAAGCTAAGCCTATGACACAAGGGATTTATGTCTACCGGGAGTGAGTAATGTGTTTGTACTGTAGTTTCTAGTAACTTTCTCTACTTAAATTTATACTAAAACTCAAGAATTTTGTAATTTTTAAAAAAAAAGATAAGACTACTAACTTACCATGCATTCAGTTTTATTTTTTTCAAAAAAGTTATTATAGCTATTTTTTGTCGACATTTAGGGAGTAAGTAAATTTTTTTTTAAAATCAAACCATGTAATAACTATACCTGAGTTTATAATATTTTTTGGGGATGTGTATCTTTATTGTAGAAAAATTTAGGGAAGAGTAATTTTTAATTTTTTTTAAATCTGAAATTTTGAATAACATAACACAGTGGATGAGTTTATGAATTGAGAAGCTATATTTGCCAGAAAATTGTTGTGCTACGTATTTACAACCTCAGCTTCCAGTCCAATGTGACAAATAGGCAAAGCAGTCCATTTAGCTTTGAAATTTTGTTTGCTTCTGGCAGAGGGTTGCTAATGCACTTTCCACATGTAAACTGGAGTCTGTGGTTTTGCTGCCTAAGCTACTAAGTAGCTACCATGTGCATGATAGATCATTACGGTCTGAGGAGAATGGCCCTGGTAGGAGTTACAAGGGGATTTGGCCGACGCTTGACACTCAGGGGAGAGGGGCGACAGATATACATTCAGACAGTTACTGGTGCCATCGGAATATTAACCCTTCGCATGCTGCTGATTATGGGGATGGAGCGCTTATGGGGGTATCCCGAGTGCTGTGATGTCGATTCCTAATTCAACATTCAACATACCATGTGCATTTACTGCGTGTGAATATTTCTGGATCTTACCAGGACTAAATGTTTGTTCTCCTGTTTTTAAATGTAACTGTCACTGGCTCAAGAGTGGGGTGATTATGGAATTACTCATTTGCAGTGAAGCTGAAACCTTGACAACTGCTAGCAACTTAAAAACTTCAACTTAGTTTCCAAAAGTGCTTAACCTCTCTCTAGGACATTGTCAAGTTGTAGTAGTCTTTTTCTTCTTCACGCGTTCACCGGCTGTAAACTCTTGAGGAAAGTTCTGATTATTCGTCCACATCTGGACTTTAGTCTTGTGTTGCGTGCACATTCGTTTAACAGATCCGGCTTTTCTGTATGCAGACTGCTGGTTCTTTGTCTCTTAGGCAGATGCACTGACTTGGAAGGAGTTGTAGTTCTGTTGGCATGAGCCTGATCCGTCCTTGCCTGCAGCTGTTTGGGTAGTCAGACACTTCTGTTGTCTTGTCCTGTTGGTTGATGTGGTTTCTGAGATTTCTCCTTGTATCACATTTAGAATTCTTAGAACTGGGAAGATTAGCCCAGAAAACAGGAGCCTGATGAATAGGATGTGTTGGCCGAAAGGCACAGCTATGTTGTAAACAGGCTCAGAATAGTTATGTCATTCAGATGAACGATGAAGATTAATTGTTAAACAGTCTTCATTCAAAGCATGTGTTTATCAGAGTGCATACAGGAAACAAAGAATGTGAATGCAGTAGTAACCTTGCAAGCATGCTACAGAAGGTGGCTAAGAAAGTTAGCTGGAGACACACTACCTCATTGATGTAACACTAGCTGTAGAATCCAAACAGTCATGAACATGATTACTACAGATCTAGCGAGAGTTGTTTGAGAGCCTGTCTTCTAGTGTGAGAGGAAAGAGAAGGATAAGGAGAATCATTGGGAAATGAAAGACAGAAGGGAGAATCACTGACGGTATTGAAAGCTTACTTCTGTTGTAAATCTTTTATACTCCCACTGTGTAGCCTTCCTCAAGAGGACAGTGATTTTGAGAGAGAGCACACACCTCCGTCCCCACCTCCACGTCGACTGAGTAGAAAAGGGGCCTCACTCAAGCTGCGATGTATAGGTAAACAGAGTAGTGATGAGAACCCTCTGATGAGGAGGCCCTTGAGAATTCCAAATCATCATAACTACCAGGTCTGTATCATTACTTCTTTGCTTACTTAGCTAGCCTGTTTCTTTACTTCCTCTTAACTTGCTGATTTCTTTACTTCTTGTTAATTTTATTATTTCTTTACTTTTTTTTAAAATATGCTGATTTCTTTACTTCTTGTTAACTTATTTCTTTACATCTTGTCATCATGCTGATTTCTTTACTTATTGTTAACTTATTTCCTTACTTCTTCTTAACATGTTGATTTCTTTACTTCTTGTTAACTTACTTATTTCTGTACTTCTTCCTAACATACTGATTTCCTTACTTCTGGTTAACTTACTTATTTCTTTACTTCTTCTTAACACGCTGTTTTCTTTCCTTCTTGTTAACTTACTTATTTCTTCACTTCTTAACATGCTAATTTCTTTACTTCTTGTTAACTTACTGATTTCTTTACATCCTGTTAACTTACTGATATCTTTACTTCTTCTTATTAATATATCCGCTGTCTGGGTTTTCAGAGAGTAATAGGGGAACTGCATCATGGAAAAGATTACGGCCTCACAGTATAATATTTCCCAAAGACACCAGTGGTGACCTGTAGCCAACCTTCATTGTAGAGTTGGCACAGATATTTCTGTTTTACTATTTGCCCAGAGGCCATTACCTTGTAGTGGTGGGGGAGCTTGAGAGCCTCAGTGATCTAATGAGCTATGCCGGCGGGAACGTATGTTCCTGGCAGGGTCACCCAAGCCGGACAGGTAATTGGTGAGGGGCCAGACTAAAGATGGCCTCCCGGTCCTCCAGGCTCGGGGGTTGGGCGCAGTGTTGACAGCTCTGCCCTGTGAAAAATCTACAACGTTACTGAAACTTCAAGAGGAAATAAGTGCTCTAAACATCCTGTGGTCTTGGGACAGAGTCTCTCTGTCAGCATGAACAACATGGGTGAAAGCCGAAAGGAAGCCCATGATGGGAAAACAAGTCTGCTAGATGTCAAAACCAAATTAAGAATTGGCTTCTGGAATAAAGTGACCTGAGTGCGGCATCTTTGACATGGAAAACTGCACTGAAGATTACACAGGACAGGAAAGCATGGAAAGTCCTCTCTGAAGCCTCATGTGCCACTAGGCATAACGAGAACTGATGACTGATGATGATTACACAAATATGCCAATCCACATGTGCACATGGCTGAATCGTCACAATCTATTTTTTTCTTTCATTTCATACATACTTGATAAACACCTGCAGGGTGTAAATGAGGCAACTATGCATGCTAGAGGTATCAACCAGCCATCAATCAGTGATGAATCCCAGCCGTCCACGCAGCCATCTCGGCCATCACTAGGTGAGTACATCGTCTGTTAACGCATTAGTGTGATTACAGTCTTATTCATGTTAACAGATTAGTGTGATTACAGTGATATTATCTCTTTTACTTGTTAACAGAATAGGTGGTTACAGTTATATTAACTCTTTCACCTGTCAACAGGTTAGTGTGGTTACAGTTATATGAACTCTTTCACTTGTTGACAGATTAGTGTGATTACAGTCTTACACATGTTAACAGATTAGTGTGATTACAGTTATATCACCTCTTTCACTTGTTAACAGAATAGGTGGTTACAGTTATATTAACTCTTTCACCTGTCAACAGGTTAGTGTGATTACAGTTATGTTGACTCTTTTATTTGTTAACAGAATAAGTGGTTACAGGTGGATTAACTCTTTCACCTGTTAACAGTTTAGTGTCATTATAGCTATAATCACTCTTTCACTTGTTAACAGATTAGTGTCGTTATAGTTATATTAACTCTTTAACCTGTTAACAGGTTAGTGTTATTACAGTTATATAAACTCTTTTATATCTTAACGTTCCTTCGAAGTCGGAGTACAGCTGCCCATGAGGCAGGGAAATGAAAAACGGTTGTACACGATTACAAAAGTCCATACTTAACCTGACCTTCCACTGAAATTCACAGCCGGTGATCGATTAAAAAAATATATGTTAACATATTATTGTGATTACAATTATACTAACTCTTTCACATGTTAACAGATTGGTCTGATAACAATAATATTAACTCTTTCACCTGTTAACAGGTTAGAGTGATTTCAGTTATATTACCACTTTCAGTACCAAGCAGATGTTTCTTTCACTGGGTTCTACTCTAAGAAGTTGTTTCTTTAACTAACAAATGTTTTTTAAATTTTTTAAATTTACTTTTAAAATAGTGGTTGGCACATTATATTGTGGTTTTTACAGCTAGGCTGTGATATATGTGCCTCTTAGCCCCAACACATCCGACTTCAGCAAGTCATAATAACTATAGAACAGAAGGAGTTAAAAGAAACAATTAGGCAGAATGTGTTAATGTAAAAAGTGGATGGGTCACAAGAAGTTGAGAGAAGTATACAAATATATCTGCTTTTTCTTCTTTTAGTCCATGCTGTGGGGCATTGATAGTCTTGTCTGTTAGGGAAGCAGTCGGTATATTCTTTTCCTCACAGTGTGGCCCGGGAACCCACACGGGGACCCGTCTCAAGGAATAACTCAGAATCTCCTCTTGGAGGGGTCTGCATGGGAAAGTGGTTCTAATCTTGTACTCTGAAGATAACGGGTTCATTTCACGGATGTGCCATTCACTTCTGCAAGTCTACTTTTTTCCCTGGGAATTGTTGCTGGAGCTACAGAGTTTATTGTTTGTGGGATGCTTTAGGCAGGCAGTTAGCTGTTCTGCAGAGAGAGAATGAGCTAATAGAGATAAGCTGGTGTTGTAAATTTGATCCCCTTGACTGTAATTTGAACTCTTTCTCACAGAAATATTCTTAGTTAACAGCTGCTTAGATCACAAAGAAATTATTATTTGCCTTTGTTAAAGACAACTGTTATTTGTGTGTCATTAATTGTAATTTATTTAATTGATTGTTATTGTTTTTTTTTGTTTTTTTTAAAAATGACTTTAGCTTAATGTTACCTGGTTTTCATTTTTCGTGTGTCTTATTGCTACCAATCAGGTACTCGACTGGTCAATTTTGTGCGCAACTTGGGTCACAGACAAAATAGAGGTACCTACAGCACTTTTGCTTGCCGTGCCCCCCCCCCCCACCCCCCCCCCGCATGTGGATGTCTTCGCTACATGCATTAGAATGTGCTTGTGTGGTTGAATGTTTTGTGGTAGCTCACCAGTTTGTCACAGCTTCACTTTCATCCAGCAGCCTCCCCTGTGGTTTCTGGGCACCATTGTGGGGGAACAATCACTGTTATACATCTGTTGATGCATATCAGTCTCAGGCTAATATAGACCAAGAAGAAAAGAAATATTGACATCCTAAAAGTACTGAGCACCAAGGAAAATTGGCTCATAAACAGCACTTTGTCTCAGAAACTGAAATAATCTGCCCATATCAAATATTACTGGGGACTGGAAAAACAGTATCAGAGGGCATCAAACCAGGATCTCAGCGCAAATCTCTGACGCTAACATGACTGCATGGCATGACCTGGGAGTAAAGTGTGGTGAAGCACATCTCTGCCACCTTTGAGGTTGAGATAGGAGACATTTTAACTAACTGCTCTTGGAAACAATCAGTAGAGATACCTTCAGGGGGCTTCTGCATCAGAGGACTGAGGAGGCGTGGGAAAGCCCAGTGTGCAGTGATGTTGACTGTGAAAACATAACTTTGTGCCAGGAAAGAGGAGCAGGGGCCAACCATCACGAAGATGGGCACAGAATATAAGAGACACTTTGAGTAGGAAAGTGCGGGAGAGCTGGCGAGGGCAAGAGTTTCTTTCAGTTGTGCTGTTATGGGAGTGACGTTCTGTAAAGGACCTGCTACATGATTATGATGATGATGATGATGATGCATGTAACCCACGTCACAGGTTTTTTGTCACATTTGTTTGTTTGATGTAACCCACGTCACAAGCTGTCTGTCACATTTGTTTGCTTTTAGTGTAACCCACATTGCAAGCTTTCTGTCACGTTTGTTTTGATGAAACCCATGTCATCACAAACTTTCTGTCACATTTGTTTTCTTTTTTATGAAACCCATGTCACAAGCTTTCTGTCACATTTGTTTGCTTTTTTATGAAACCCATGTCATCACAAACTTTCTGTCACATTTGTTTGCTTTTTTATGAAACCCATGTCACAAGCTTTCTGTCACATTTGTTTGCTTTTAATGTAACCCACATCATAAGCTTTCTATCACATTTTGCTTTTAATGTAACCCACATCATAAGCTTTCTATCACATTTTGCTTTTAATGTAACCCACATCATAAGCTTTCTATCACATTTTGCTTTTAATGTAACCCACATCACGAGCTTTGTGTCAGGTTTTGCTTTTAATGTAACCCCCGCCACAAGCTTTCTGTCACCTTTGTTTGCTTTTTGACCCATGTCACAATATGTCTGTCACATTTGATTGCTTTAATATAAGCCACATCAAAAGCTTTCTGTCACATTTGTTTGCTTTGATGTAACCCATGTCACAAGCTGTCTGTCACATTTGTTTGCTTTGATGTAACCCACATCAAAAGCTTTCTGTCACATTTGTTTGCTTTGATGTAACCCATGTCACAAGCTGTCTGTAACATTTTTTCGCTTTGATGTAACCCACATCGCAAGCTTTCAGTCACATTTGGTGACTTTAATGTAACACATGTCACAAGCTTTCAGTCACATGCTTGCTTCATTTTGTATGTGTAGAACAGTGTTTCTCAATCTATGAGGCATGAAAACACTGAAATGGTAGCACACATAAAGTAGCATGGTGAGTATGCCTACAAACACTTACAAATGGGGGGACACGAGAAAGCAGATTGAGAAACACTGATTTAAAGCTTGGGCCTGTGTTAGTTGCTAATACAAGTTCTACAAGTTAAGTCTTCTGTGTCGCTTATTATGTGTTATTGCACTCCAAACTTAGTCTTTACGTAATGTGAGGAGACGTATTTAATCTCATCTGCTTTTCCCTCCTTTTTTCTCTGTACCTCCTAGTAGTAACCAGCACAAATGTGCATCATGAATCATTTTACAAAACTAATAAAGAAGAAGATTAAGGCTTTTGAACTTTCTTTGATGGAGTACTTAGCATTGAGCAGACTTCTATTGTTCCAGATTTTATGAGCTAGCTCTGTGTTATTCAACATATGGGATACTCTGTTAAAATAAATGGACATGTTCTATGCCTTAGCTGCATCAGGCATCCATCGCTAGATGTATATTCTGTTGACTGATTGGCAATCGGGTGATGCAGTCACCACCATGCACCTTTACTCCCGGAGACATTACCTGGTACCTATTTCAGATTCACCTGGAAGCCAGTTTCAGTTTAAAAAAAAAAAAATCATGCAAGTTACTATATTTGATTAACTATAAGGCATGGCATATGCTATTTGCTATCTTCGATCAGTGGCACTAATTGTTTAAGATCTATTGATAAGCATGTCTGTTGAATTTTGAATTAAGAATCGACATCGCAGCGCTCGGGACACTCCTATTTCTGTCCCCATATTCAGCAGCAAGCAAAGAGTTCCAGTTCTGATGGCACCAGTAACTGTCTGATTGTAGATCTCTCTTGCCTTTCCCTTGAGTGCTGAGCATCGGCCATATACCCTGGCGCCATTCTCCTCAGACTGTAATGATCTAATTGTGCCTCCGCACTGTTCACTCACTCCCAAAAGGCCCTCACAACATCTAGCTTGTCATACATCAGTTCACCATCCAGTGGTGCAGAACTGACCAGTCTATCTGCCGGCTCGTTTCCCAACACACCTGCATAACCTGGAGAAAAAATTCCAAAGGACGCTAACTACCCAGGACTACTGAAGGGATGCTTGTCACTCTGCACAGCATGCTCTGAAAGTTAGTTACAGTTGCAACACATTTGTACAGCTGATTCTCAAGCCAGCATAGGGCACATCTGTTTCATGTAACACTCAGTGACTCACTAGAGTCCATAATTCACTACAAAAAATGGTTTTACACATTAGTGCGTGTGCGTGGCGCTCATTTCATGTGTTTATTATTTTGCCTTCTGGATTGGCCTTGGTTTTACTGGGTTTTGACATTAAATATATGAATAGTTACACCTAAAGTTACCTATCCTTTTGGAGTCAGTATAAAAGACCAAGGGAGGGATGATGCCGCATGTGCAACACATGTCTCTGCAATACTGCCAGTTTTTTTTATTTTTTTTGCTGTGGAGAGGAGAAGCTTCATCCCTGACCTTAACTGGTATCGCCATCTGTCTGTGTCGAGGAGAAGCTTCATCGTTGACCTTAACTGGTGTTACCATCACTATTTGTCTGTGGAGAGGAGAAGCTTCATCCCTGACCTTAACTAGTGTTACCATCACTATTTGTCTGTGGAGAGGAGAAGCTTCATCTCTGACCTTAACTGGTGTTACCATCACTATTTGTCTGTGGAGAGGAAAAGCTTCATCTCTGACCTTAACTGGTGTTACCATCACTATTTGTCTGTGGAGAGGAGAAGCTTCATCCTAGACCTTAACTGGTGTTACCATCACTATTTGTCTGTGGAGAGGAGAAGCTTCATCCCTGACCTTAACTGGTGTTACCATCACTATTTGTCTGCGGAGAGGAGAAGCTTCATCCCTGACCTTAACTGGTGTTACCATCACTATTTGTCTGTGGAGAGGAGAAGCTTCATCCCTGACCTTAACTGGTGTTACCATCACTATTTGTCTGTGGAGAGGAGAAGCTTCATCTCTGACCTTAACTGGTGTTACCATCACTATTTGTCTGTGGAGAGGAGAAGCTTCATCCCTGACCTTAACTGGTGTTACCATCACTATTTGTCTGTGGAGAGGAGAAGCTTCATCCCTGACCTTAACTGGTGTTACCATCACTATTTGTCTGTGGAGAGGAGAAGCTTCATCCCTGACCTTAACTGGTGTTACCATCACTATTTGTCTGTGGAGAGGAGAAGCTTCATCTCTGACCTTAACTGGTGTTACCATCACTATTTGTCTGTGGAGAGGAGAAGCTTCATCCCTGACCTTAACTGGTGTTACCATCACTATTTGTCTGTGGAGAGGAGAAGCTTCATCCCTGACCTTAACTGGTGTTACCATCACTATTTGTCTGTGGAGAGGAAAAGCTTCATCTCTGACCTTAACTGGTGTTACCATCACTATTTGTCTGTGGAGAGGAGAAGCTTTATCCCTGACCTTAACTGGTGTTACCATCACTAGTGGAGAGGAGAAGCTTCATCCCTGACCTTAACTGGTGTTACCATCACTATTTGTCTGTGGAGAGGAGAAGCTTTATCCCTGACCTTAACTGGTGTTACCATCACTATTTGTCTGTGGAGAGGAGAAGCTTAATCCCTGACCTTAACTGGTGTTACCATCACTATTTGTCTGTGGAGAGGAGAAGCTTCATCCCTGACCTTAACTGGTGTTACCATCACTATTTGTCTGTGGAGAGGAGAAGCTTCATCTCTGACCTTAACTGGTGTTACCATCACTATTTGTCTGTGGAGAGGAGAAGCTTCATCCCTGACCTTAACTGGTGTTACCATCACTATTTGTCTGTGGAGATAAGCTTTATCCCTGATCTTAACTGGTGTTACGATCACTGTTTGTCTGTTTCGAGGAGAAGCTTTATCCCTGACCTTAACTGATATCGCCATCACTATTTTCTGTGATTTTGAGGCCTCCCTGTAAGCACTATATAACACTGTTGTCCGGAAAGTTGGGACTGCATCTAGAAACTTGATCTAGTGTGGTAGCAGATTGAAACTATATCCGGTACATAAAAATAGAAACTATATTGAGCATTGCTTTCAAAAATTGTATTAACAATTGAAAAGTTTGTTAAGAAACTAGATCTGCAGTAACAGTCTAAAAAACTAGACTTTTGATTGACATTCTTCTACATTATGAAACAGATTGTGTTGTGAGATGCATAGTATTGATTTCAATTTAATAGGATGTAACCATGGCATACACTGATTCATTTATAGGTGTTCATGACATATATTGATTCAGTAAAATATATTGGGACACAGAGGCGCTGAACCACATGTGGGTGTGCACTAGGGCCGGGGCTTATACTGGTTAACTCTTTCAGGCCCATGAATTTTGACAGACTTGGCCCACATTAATTTCCCTTTACAAAAATGGCAGAGGGGTGGGTGTACAAGAAAGGCTGTAGAGACTGTAATATACTTCTAATCCCTATAACAGTATATATTTTTTAAACGAGAAATGAGTGTACATTCTGAATCTGATGATAAGTGTTTGTTTAATTTTGTTATAGTTACTGGAAAAGAAGAATTCAGCAGGTGTTAATTTCACAAGGACAACATTTCACACAAAAATTCTTCACTTACCATGGTTTTGCAGCCACAAGAAAAGTAAATATCCAAATTTGAGAACAAAACTTCAAAGTTTGTTCAATTTCCTAACATATTCTGAAGTTATGATAACTTTCTGGGTTAGTTTATCACTCAGGGGCTCTTAGTTCCCACCGAGTGCTAAGCAAAATTTCAGAGAAAAAATGGCAGACAAATTAGCCATAAAGCACACACTATTTACTATTCACTTTGTACAGTTATTTACAGACTGTAGCTGCGATGATTTCAATGTAGCTTAGCCATAGTATAGTACTATATCTTTGTTTAGAGCACTTTCCTTCTCTTACACCATAAATACGGTAGTATGGGACATTGTCTGTGTAATAAACTCGTCAGAATCGCTAGATTCCGAACAGGTGATCGCTCAGTTTCACTGGTGAAAATTCACTGTCTGAATCACTTTCCGAAAAATCTAAATTTTTATTATCATTTTCACAATTAAAAACATCTGACTGAAACAATTTCAAAAAGACGCATTCTGCGACCTGTTCTTGTGGTTAGAACATTGGTATTCAGTGCACTCAAAAACGAACTTAGAAAATGAACTGTTAAAAAATTTTGATGTTTTTTTCTCTCAAATTATCCACGTGTGGTTTAGTCCAAGAAGTGAAACTAAAATGATTTCGGCAGAGTGACTTTCCCTGAATAGGTTATTCGTACCTCCAAACATTAGAAACTAGTACGAACGCGCATGCGAAGCAAAATGTAAGAGATACACAATTAACGATGGCACCGTTGTTTGGGCAGAACGGAACTTCTCAAACTATGCTCACACCGTTGTTTGGGCCTTAAAGAGTTAAGAGCTATCTAAACCTCTCCATTGTCATCCTAGACGATTCCCAGCTGTTAGCCATGGCCAACTTGGATAGGATCGTTTCCTTCAAAGTCAGAGTGCATCTGTCCGATATGCAAGGAACCAGCAGTCTCCACACAGATAACCCAGATGTGTAAAACAGATATGCAGGCAACACTTGAGTCTTGGAAGGAGACTAAGGTCTGGAAGTGGTTGAACAAACAGAACTTTCAATGGGAGTTTACAGCCAAGTACACATTAAGAAAAAGAAGTTTTTAAAAAGGGAAGGGGAGAGCAATGGAAATTTTTGTTTCATTTATATTTAGAAACAGTTTTGTAACATACCACAGGCAACCAGGGTAATGCAGAGGCTAGCAGGCCTGCCACCTTGAGAGTTCATAAGTTCTGGTCTTTGCTGAAACTGGGATTTTTTTATTCTGGATAACTAGAAGGACATTGATTAACATTAACTTGGATGAATGCTAGAAAAGTGAAGAAATTAGAGAAGTATATAGACAACCACTGTTATCGACAGTTATAAGACGAAGGAGGTTGCGCTATGTTGGGCATGTGGGTTCATTTCATGGCTTCATCGTTCGGTTCATGAGGGCAATTTTGTGGATATTCTTCAGGATTATCGCTGGAGATATGGAATTTGTGCTTTGTGCGATTCTCTCGGTCAATGGAAACCATTCTGCAGAGAGAGACCAAGCTATATGGGATAAAACCTGGTGTAGTGTATTTAATCCTCTCAACTATAACTAAAATCTCTTGATGTTGTCTTCCTACTTGTATCACTGTACCCCTCTTGCTCAACTGCTTTCAGTTTTTTCCCCACCATGCATAGTTTTTAATGAAAGTGTTCCGGCTCTCTAGCGGAATTGGCTAAACCGGATTTCGCGGAGACCGGGTGACGTACTCCTTGTGGTCCGGGTTCAATCCCGGGGGTAGGCAGGAAAGCCACATTTTCTCCCAGATTTACGGTATTTACAATGGAATCAAGGCCGAAAGGTTGCGATATCCATAATACCGAGCCTAAGGGTTAACAACTCATGGCTTCTGGATACTAAAACAATGAAAGTGTTATGTATTTTGTTGAAGTAGCTGGCAGACCCAGGTTCATTCCTGGGTAAGGAATGGAGGGCTTCTACCAGGGCCGGACTAAATATCCCAACCTGCAAACTGTTCATAGTGACTGCACTAGCCCTGAATGCTTAGGGCTCACACCCCCCCCCCCCACCCCCCAGTACCACACTATCCTAACTGTGGTAAACACAAGGACTGAAGACTTTTGTGTGTGTGAGAGACCATATTTTAATGATGTGCTTTCCTTTAGCTGACTGGCTGAATGGTTAGAACGCTGGGCTCTCAAGCGGGAAACCCAGGTTCGAATGCTTGTTAAGATTGGGTATTTTTTTTCCGGTCGGGGGTATAAATAAAAACATAACCTGCACAGTCTGCATAACCTGCACAGTCTGTGGCAACAACACTAGCCCTTAAATCCTTAGACTCAAAGACTCCTTTGCATACACAGCAAAGGTGGTACATACAGGAGGGGGGGGGGGGGGGGATAACTTTGCTTCAATTTCAGGGGATTTCTCCAGAGAATGCCAGTGTGTTGGGAAATAAAGAGGCAGATAGACTGGCTGGTTCTGCACCATTTAGTAGTAAATTGGTGCATGGCAAGCTAGATGTTGTTAGGGCCCTTTGGGAGTCAGTGAACAGTGCAGAGACACAAATAGATCATCAGGGTCTGTAGAGAACCGTGCAGCGAGGAGTAACCAGGAGATCTGGCTGGTGCTGAACACTCAGGGGAGGGGTGAGATGGACATACAACCCGACTGTTACTGGTACCATGGGAATTAGAACTCTGTGTTTGCTGCTGAGGATGGGAAATGAGCAATTATGGGAAGGTCTGAGTGCTGTAGCATCAGTTCTTAATTCATAATTTTAGTTTTAAAAATGATTAAAAAAATTTTTTTTTTTATGCATACCAAAATTCTAAACTTGTTGATTTTATGTTGCAAACAGATGCACAAGATTCTCAGCTGCAGCAGCGCGATGATGATGATGACTCAACAGCTGATCCAGAATTGTCCACTCATCCTCATAGACCTGTCGGCCGTGGCCCACTCATTATTCCAGCCTCTGTTCAACAACAGCAGTACCGCTTGCAGCATCAGAGGAACAACGCTGAGACTTTGGTTGCTAAGGTCAATATTCATTTGTTTCTTTGTTTATTTTTTTTCTGTTTGATCATAAAAGGCGATTGATACGTTGTCTTGTTGTTTACCAACACGTCTTGTTTCAGCATACTCTTAATTAATTGCCTTTTATGACATGCATGTTAAGAATCAGTGAGTTTGTCCCCCAGACCTCCTGCCCCAAATGGCCCTCACAAGTATTCCATTTTATCAACTAATGCCCTTTATTCATTCATGGAGCTTAAGCTGTCAGCAAACTCATACTAACTCAATGTTTCCTTGCCATCGTATGTAGGTTCACCTCATTGTCTCCTTGCCATCATATGTAGATCAACTCATGTCTCCTTGCCATCATATGTAGATCAATTCATTGTCTCCTTGCCATCATATGTAGCTCAACAACTCATCATGTCTCCTTGCCATCATATGTAGATCAACTCATTGTCTCCTTGCCATCATATGTAGATCAACTCATTGTCTCCTTGCCATCATATGTAGATCAACTCATTGTCTCCTTGCCATCATATGTAGATCAACTCATTGTCTCCTTGCCATCATATGTAGATCAACTCATTGTCTCCTTGCCATCATATGTAGATCAATTCATTGTCTCCTTGCCATCATATGTAGCTCAACTCATGTCTCCTTGCCATCATATGTAGATCAATTCATTGTCTCCTTGCCATCATATGTAGCTCAACTCATGTCTCCTTGCCATCATATGTAGATCAATTCATTGTCTCCTTGCCATCATATGTAGATCAATTCATTGTCTCCTTGCCATCATATGTAGATCAATTCATTGTCTCCTTGCCATCATATGTAGATCAATTCATTGTCTCCTTGCCATCATATGTAGCTCAACTCATGTCTCCTTGCCATCATATGTAGATCAATTCATTGTCTCCTTGCCATCATATGTAGATCAATTCATTGTCTCCTTGCCATCATATGTAGCTCAACTCATGTCTCCTTGCCATCATATGTAGATCAATTCATTGTCTCCTTGCCATCATATGTAGATCAATTCATTGTCTCCTTGCCATCATATGTAGATCAATTCATTGTCTCCTTGCCATCATATGTAGCTCAACTCATGTCTCCTTGCCATCATATGTAGATCAATTCATTGTCTCCTTGCCATCATATGTAGCTCAACTCATGTCTCCTTGCCATCATATGTAGATCAATTCATTGTCTCCTTGCCATCATATGTAGCTCAACTCATGTCTCCTTGCCATCATATGTAGATCAATTCATTGTCTCCTTGCCATCATATGTAGATCAATTCATTGTCTCCTTGCCATCATATGTAGCTCAACTCATTGTCTCATTGCCATTGTATGTAGCTCAACTCATTGTCTCCTTTCCATCATACGTAGATCAATTCATTGTCTCCTTTCCATCATATGTAGATCAATTCATTGTCTCCTTGCCATCATATGTAGCTCAACTCATGTCTCCTTGCCATCATATGTAGATCAATTCATTGTCTCCTTGCCATCATATGTAGATCAATTCATTGTCTCCTTGCCATCATATGTAGCTCAACTCATTGTCTCATTGCCATTGTATGTAGCTCAACTCATTGTCTCCTTGCCATCATATGTAGCTCAACTCATGTCTCCTTGCCATCATATGTAGATCAATTCATTGTCTCCTTGCCATCATATGTAGCTCAACTCATGTCTCCTTGCCATCATATGTAGATCAATTCATTGTCTCCTTGCCATCATATGTAGATCAATTCATTGTCTCCTTGCCATCATATGTAGCTCAACTCATTGTCTCATTGCCATTGTATGTAGCTCAACTCATTGTCTCCTTTCCATCATACGTAGATCAATTCATTGTCTCCTTTCCATCATATGTAGATCAATTCATTGTCTCCTTGCTATCGTATGTAGATCAATTCATTGTCTCCTTGCCATCGTATGTAGATCAATTCATTGTCTCCTTGCCATTGTATGTAGCTCAACTCATCGTCTCCTTTCCATCATATGTAGATCAATTCATTGTCTCCTTGCCATCATATGTAGATCAATTCATTGTCTCCTTGCCATCATATGCAGCTCAGCTCATAATAATACCCCCCCCCCCCCCCCCCCCCCCCCCCCCCCCCCCCCCAAATCTCTGTTACTCCTCTCCTTATGCTCTTTGATGATTAAAACGAAGATCTGTATGTATGTATGGGCATACAGATTTAAGCGAAAATACACAAACTGATAGGTTTTTGAGAGGAATGGATGAGCAGTGGATCCGACTAACATACAGAAAGCTCTTTGTTAAATACAATATTTGTGTGATTCAAGTGATGAAGAGAATTTAAAACAACAGCAGATCAAGAAGGGTGAGGCCTGACAAGATCAGTGTGCAGGAAGCCAAGAAAGAAGAAAAAACCAACACAGAACTGGCGTGGTCAGCTGCTACATAGTGTGGTATATACTGACAGCTGGATCCATGAAATTCAGGTCCGAGTGGTTCCTTGTGCATGGAGGATGATCTAGTAGTCGTAGTAGTAAATTTTACCCCTCCAGGACATCACACAGAGCGATAAACACCCGGTGACACACAGCAGATGAGGATCACCCCTGGAAAGGTCCCAGAAACCGTGTTCAACCGTCAAGCTATATTGCGGCCCCGGCAAAAAGCCAGGGTGGAGCTTCAGAATAACGAAAAATATTGTTCCACATGTGGACGACCTTGGTAATTGAATAAGGAGGATAATCTGGTGACTGAATTAATGTTACTGCATCCATTAGGTTTTGTAACTCCTGCTTACATTTTCATTGTGTCATTGGATTTTAAAGGCTTGACTGATTTGTGTGCCTGCAGGTTCTCCAAGACGAGGGTTTGAATCGATGGATAGACCCACAGTTCTTTCAGCGAGAGATTGCCGAGGCAACTAACATGACTCAGGAGGAAATGAATATTGCTGCAAGGGAGCTTATCAGGCAGTCTCGTCAGATGGGTCACAGTTACGAGAGTGATGTCCCCTTAAGCAGTCCCAATTCAGACACTTCCACCAACTACCGATGGTTTCCTTCTAGTCAGCAGCAAAAGGACACTTCAGACTTGATAAACAGACATGCATTGGTAAACATGACCTCTTTGTAGCATTCACTAACAGTTGGGCATGCGACTAACATCAAACTGATGCTGTCTTTCCTCTCAAGAAATGCTGCATGTTTAGTAGCATCTTGCTTGGGGTTAGATGCTTGCCGCTCTTGAAGAGTTCCGTTTATAAAAATGTCTCAGTAGTGACATTTTATGTGGTGTTAATTGGGATAATGTTAAAACAAAGTCATTATCGTCAACACTGCCTACTGACACCTTCAGGAAAGCACAGTCTCAGGTGCATTTGATGAGCCTTTGTATCTGGATGATTGTCAAGAAACCAGCACTAGAGAGCTCAAAGTCGAGCTACCTTGATGGTCTTTGGAGAAATGTGGTTAGACAGAGATATTCTAGTGCCACCACTTGGCTGTAAGTTGGAGGGATGTATAATGTAGCCCCTGGTGTGGGATCAACTAGGAAAAGTAGGCAGGTCGTTATGTTTGGGTCAAGATCAGAACTCTTGTATCACAACTTCCAAATGGTGACTAGTTGTGAATGTACAGACAGTGTGTGGATTGTAGAGCACCAGGATCAACTCTCTTCAAGTCTTCAGCAGCTCCCATCAAAGCTGAATCCAGATTGCAAAGTCCTCAAAACAACAGCCAAGAATAATGAACCAAGATAAAACAGGTGTCTTCAGCTGCCAGATACTGGGGTATGTACTGAGGAGGAAGGCCAAACACTTCAGGACTGAGTGGTTTGATGTGCTGTGAAGATAATCTGCCCACATTGCACTGGAATCAAAACTCTGGGTAGGAGAGCCAGAAGAACATAAGACAGGAATGAGTTTTTTTTTCCCTGTTGTTGAACATACAAGTGCATGATATTTGCTGAGAAGAGTGCAGCTCTGATAACCTAGTCATGTGACACCCAGCAAGTCCTGTGATGTTGAACACAACTACAGTGCTAAGACATGGACACAAGATGCTGCCCCTGCCAGAATAGGTCCCCTGCGCACACAGGGCAGCAGTGTACTTGTTTTGTAACCTGCCTCTAAATAACTGTTTACATATAATGTTCAATGGGGTATCTGGGACTTGTTCCTGTCCTATTTACATCAGAATATGGGCGCCTTCAGTCACTGGATATCCACACCCTTAGGTGGAAGTCCTGGAGAGAGGGTGGGGGTGGTAATTCAGAAGAAAAGAACACCTACCAGTTCTGTTTACATGATCAGCCATGTTTTGTGGCTTCTTGTAATGGACAGCGTAATCGGTGGTGTCCACATTAGCCTTCTTTTTCCCAGGACCTTTTCTTTCTCATATTTTGAGTACATTTGATGATGTGCTGTTCAATCAACTTGTACATTAAATCACACTAATTGTAATATCTACTGTACAGTCATATTTTTATACCAGTTGTTACTCTTGTCAAAATACTTTGGCAGACTTGAATGCTGTCTTTTTCATACAGTTTTGTGAACAGAAAACACTTTTTTGTTTTGTTTTTTGGCCCCACTCCCTAAGCAGCAAAGGTTTATAATGTTGCAGTATACATGGAATATGTCTGATCACTTTATTGCTGTCAGTATTTTAACTTGCTTTCGTCATTTATCTTTGCTGGGTTTTTTTTTTTTCTGAATTATGTGAGTTTATTATTTATACATGCATTGAATGGAGAAGTCGATAGTCGTTAGTCAAGGTTCCGAGATAATTGCAGACTGGTGGCGCCATGACTGCTCTGTATCTGTGCCAGGGAAAATCACACAAAATGTCCCTCCCTGCCCTGTTTAAAAACTTGTGGAAACCTTGTTAGTTCCAGCAAAATTTTACAGTTTTAATGGGCAAGAGATGTGAAAGTATAACAGCTTTAAAGTAGGAACCAAGTATATTGGTAGATTGTTGTTAAATTACTGCCCTCTTGGCCAAATCACTGTTGGTTATCTTCAGAAGATTTTAGAATTGATATCAAAGCCTACCTGGTATACCCTGCATCTCCTGCAGTAGATGTCTTCATTTGTAGATGCCTACTGTTCCAATGGAAGTCGTCGTGGCATAGCAGCTAGACGATCGTGTGAGGATCGGAAAGTCATGGGTTCGCTCCCTGGCGGTGTCAGACTTTTTTCAAAAATGACCTTGACTCCCAGGTCGACCTAGCCTTTAGTGGGTACCGGGTGCAGTCGTGGAAGGTAAAGGCGGCCAGGGTGATGCTCACCACATCACCCATCTGGTACCGATTAGTCTATAAAAATATAGGTCTAGCCCTATATGCCTAAAGGCGTGGAAAAGGTACCTTTACTTTAATGTTTCAACAGAACACTGGTTGTACTCATGTCCTTGTCCTCTTTGCATGAGTCCTATCTTGCCGTATCCACACTTAATTCCAGATTTGTGCAACCTTCCGCATATTGTTTTATCTTCTTCACATTCACCAGCTATAAACTCCAGTGGAAAGTTCTGGGTGTTTGTCCACCTCCAGACTCCAGTCTTCTTCTAGAACCTGAGGGTTGCATACACAACCATTTCACAGATCTGGTTTATTTATTTGAGATTGTTGGTTCCTTGCTTCTCAGGCAGATGTGCTCTGACTTTGAGGGATGCCCTCAATTGTCTGGCTCCACCTGGGAGTCAATGTCATTTTTGAAAAAAGCCCAGCTCCCACCAGGAACCGAACCCACGACCTTCAGATCTGCAGGTGAGCGTCTAGCGGCTAGACCTCAGCGGCTGCCTTTCACGAGGATGCCTTGTCCAAATTGAGGGTTCCTCTAGCTGTCACATTTGTAGCCCAAGAGAAAAGTATTTTTTTTTTTTTTTTTTTTTTTTTACTTTGCACTGCTGCATGTCCCAGATTTTTTATCCATGTGAGTCCTGAAATGGTGGACACTCTGATGCCACATTTATCTATTGTGAACCATCCCAGTAAAAGCTGACAATCCGACACTCTTGTAAGTCTGCTTCCAACTATCCACTTCAGAGCTGCAGTGATTTCGTCCGTCTTCATCCTCAGGCTTAAAGTGGCAGACAAATTTGAACACATCCATGGTAATTCTAAGGGAGCCGCATTGGTTTAGGCATTCCCCTGCGGGTGGGACGGTCATGGATTCAAATCTGGAGGGCGCTGGACTTTTTTTCAAAACTGACCTTATCTTGGCTCCAAGATGACCCAGCTTTGAATTGGTACCAAGTAAAAGTCCTCTGAAGTAAGGGCGGTTGGCTGGATCACCCACCAATTTCGAAATTGTCTGTAAAATATCATTCTGCCCTATGTGGCCAGTATACCTTAATGACTGGACAAGGATCCTTTACTGATTATTGTAAAACCAGGTCACTGGTTATTGTAAAACTAGGTCACTGGTTATTGTAAAACTAGGTCACAGGTTATTGTAAAGCCAGGTCACTGGTTATTGTAAAACCAGGTCACTGGTTATCTCTTTACCAAAACTATTTCACCTTTGCTTTAATGGCATGGTGTGTTGTTACTGTGAAACCTGGCACAGAAATGGAGTACAACAAATTGAAAGAGCTACAGAAAACTGAACATATTGTGTGTCTGTATGGGGCATATCTGTATGTGTGGACCTGATAACAAACGTCTGTAGTTTTGTATGTAGTCTGTGATAGAAAGATGGTTTGAACGTAGTTTCAAACAAAATATTTTTTATAATGCCTATATCAGTGGTTGTTATTTGTTGTTATTTATTTAAACTGTGAATTTTTTCAAATAGGTCTTTATTGTTGTTTCCTGCACACTGTGTACATAGAGGGACATGTTGTCATGGTGTCTTTTGTGTGTCTACCACAAATGCCTGACGTATTGTGTTTGTTGTAAATATACATTGACAAGTTTGCTTGTGTTCACAGCAGCTTCTGCTAAGAACTCAAGAAAACAAAAACTGATCTGCTGAATTTAATTTCTTAGCGAATAGAAAGATTGATACAGTTCATTAAAGATCAACAGATGAGATGGTTTGGTTATCTGATGAGAATGCCCTAGTACCAACTGCCACAGAGAGCCACTCTGGGGAAATTTAATGAAGACAGAGTGAGAGAAAGACCAGACCAATGACATAAAGAACAGCTTTGAAGAACTGAACATCACCTTGTACAAAACATGGAAAACGTAAACAGAAGATCTTTATATCTCCCCCTTACATTTTGATGAGCTAGCTGGATGGAGAGAAGAAGAAGATGAATGAAAAAGTGAATATTTTGGGACGATAGTCTAATTCTGAATGACTTACTGTAAATATGAAAGAAAGATATTTGGAGCTGAGTTGGGTATAGTCAGGAACTGAAATCACAGCGCTCACTTGGAACATTTCCCTAAGTGCTTCCATTGCAGAAACTGTAGTTTCAACACTGCCTTTTATCCCCCAATGGAACATAGGCCCTCTCATAACTCATTCCATTTGTTCTATCCTTTGCTGTTGCTTGCAGCTCATCCCATGTCCTTCCCATCTGTTTAACTTGACTCTCTAGCTCCCATCTCCGTGTGTTTATTGACCTGCCCTTATTCCAGTGCAGAGACATTGTAGTTATATTGTTCTCAGGTTTTCTCAGTGTGTGTCCTATCCAACACCATCATCTTTTCTTCTCCTCTTGGTCCACTGGAACTTGTTTAGTTCTCTCCCAAAGCTCAAGATCAGTGATTCTTTCATTGCATTTAATTACCTCCATTCTGAGCAGCCACCAGTTAATGTCATTTTAAGTTTCAGCAGTTAATGAATGTCTGAGTTTCAGTAGTTAATGAATGTGTGAGTTTCAGTAGTTAATGAATGTGTGAGTTTCAGCAGTTGTTGATGAATGTGTGAGTTTCAGTAGTTAATGAATGTCTGAGTTTCAGCAGTTAATGAATGTGTGAGTTTCAGTAGTTAATGAATGTGTGAGTTTCAGTAGTTAATGTATGTGTGAGTTTCAGCAGTTAATGAATGTGTGAGTTTCAGTAGTTAATGAATGTGTGAGTTTCAGCAGTTGTTGATGAATGTGTGAGTTTCAGCAGTTAATGTATGTGTGAGTTTCAGCAGTTAATGAATGTGTGAGTTTCAGCAGTTAATGAATGTG